AATAAATAAATAAATAAATAAATAAATAAATAAATAAATAAATAAATAAATAAATAAATAAATAAATAAATAAATAAATAAATAAATAAATAAATTTGAATTGAATTGAAATTTGTTATTTGAAGAAAATTTGCACAATTATGCATTATTTCCTAAAATATGCACAAAGTTGCCAAAATATGCAAAATATGCATTTTTTTATTGGCTTATTTTAATCAAAAAACATTAGATGTGCATAGAAAACTTACAATTTTGTTGATAGGTATACCTCTTAATAACAAATATGCATTTTGCATATAATCCGAGCCTTACTGATAAAATAATGTCATTTTTTATAACTAGTGATAAAATTAAGTACATTTGACAAGTAAAATGACATACATATCACAATGGTAGTTTTTCACAACCAAACTGAAAAAATGTATTTATAGAAATATTTAATATTTTTAACTAAAACTCCTAAAATGCCGATGTTTGTTGAACTTCTTAAAACGTTTTTTGCAGGTGTAATGCATTTTTTTTTGTTAATCACATGTATAGGGTTTCTAACTACGTAACTGCCCTGCATGTTTTAGTTATTATATATATTTTTTTCTTAATTTTTCTGCAATTTGATTCAAAACAGTGTCTGCTTAATATGGAACACCCTATACTAAATTAAGAACAATGTATATTTTTTGCGGCATTTCTTTTCTGATATTTCTTAGTTAAAGGATGCTTTTATTATTTGTAGTAAAAATTTAATTTTGTTTTAGGTTGGCTGCAGCGCAGGAGGCGGCGGCACAGGAGGTGCAGCAGCAGACGGAGGCGGGCGCAGCTGATACAATGGGGGGCGCCAGCGCGGCAGGAGGGCAGGGGCCCAGCTCGTTGTTCCTGTTCTCCGAGGAGAATCCTATTCGCAGACATACGCGCTTCATCATCGAGTGGCCATATCCTTTCAAATATCACATTTTTTTTATTATACAGGATGTCTCATTGAAACTGATAATGATTATGGATTCTCAAATGTTTCAAAACAAATTTTAGAAAATTTGAAGTTAAAGTGTTTATTAAGTAAGTTTATTAAAAAAACGTTGATTGTTTTTTTTATTCAAATACTTAGATATAGATTAGAATTTGAAGTGGATGTAGAAATAATAATAGATGTGCTTCCTTATTTTTTATTCAAATTTAATATACGCTCAAATTCTTAATTATTTAGTCGAGATAATTTTTTTATTGGAGTTTGTTACTTTTCTTAACAAATATTACTCCGTTCGAGTATGCCGTGCTTTTGACAATCATAGCCAACTGTGTGGTGCTGGCACTGGAGGAACACCTGCCCAATCACGACAAGACTTTATTAGCACAAAAATTAGTAAGTCATCTTCAACTCTGAGGGTGTAAAAATATTTTTTCTTTGTATTTTTAGGAAGCAACCGAAGTTTACTTTCTAGGAATATTCTGTGTTGAAGCTTCATTAAAGATTTTAGCGTTAGGTTTTGTTCTTCATAGAGGATCGTATCTTAGAAACATTTGGAACATTATGGATTTTTTTGTGGTGCTTACGGGGTAAGTGACCCAAATTTTGCGTTTTTTTTTAATAGCGCTATTTGTGTGGAATGGCCGTCAAGAGAGCAGACGTTGTCATTCTGTACTCTTTTTTTTCATATCTAATAGTGAACGACGACTAAATTTGGATTTAGTATTGCAGTTTGTGACAAAATACCCAATTTTTTCTGTTGTCGACTTGTTTCCTTAATTGTGAGATAATTTTAATAAATTCAACCGACATGACTCTTGACTTAGAAGAGATAATTGAAATTCTACTATCTGTACAGGGTGCGCCAGAACTTGCGCCTCAGAGAAAAATGCCATGTAAGGTAAGAAAGATATCAGGAACATGGAAAAAATGTTAAAAAATCTTATCTATAAAAATTTTGAAGTTATGGTAGTAGAAAAATAACTTTCCAAGTTTTTTTGCTGAATGGTATAGAAAAGGAAACAAGGAAGTTGTATTCTAAATTGTGACTAACGTTATTTGTGACTTTCATTGCCAAAATTTTTGTACCTTTACTAAATACTTATAAAAAAAAAACATATACAAGATCATCAGTATCATTAAGTAGACATAAAAAAAATGTCAAAGGTCAAAAAATAAATGTCAAAATTTTTTGATAGATAGAATTAAAAATAAAAATTTTTTTTTTATGTTTTTGGTATCTTATCTTACTTGAAATTTTTCTCTGAGGCACGAGTTCTAACCCTGTATAATGTTACGCAATCACTGTAATTATATAATTCTTAACTTTTAGAGGTAGGAAAATACGTCATTTCATCCCTTAGTCGGGAAATAAAATATATAAGATTACCAAGGTTGCAAGCCCACCAAATGGTCCAACAAATATGCATTTTTTTATTTCTACGAACCAAGAGTAGAAATTTAGAACCTGTGTCCACGGAAGATAAAACGTCATAATGACAAATAAAAAGTGTCAAAATAATTTTTATGTAAATTATGATAGGAAAACGTGGTGAAAGATTTGTATAAATAAATATTAACAATATCTCATTTTAGGATGTTTTGAGACGTTTCATGGAATAATTTAATTTGCTTAGATCAATATTTTTACATTTATAAAATAATTTTTTGACATGTAACTAAGATACGAACTGTATGCGACACACGTCCTTAACTAGTACACCTACTTGATATTTTTTGATTCCACTGTATTAACAGCAAAACAAATATTTTATTATTTAAACCTTTCGGTTCTCTTGGTCATACATCTAAATTCTGGGAGAAATGACATATTTTCCAACTCGGTTATAATATACTATTACAGCTGGAGAGTTTATGGATCAGTTTGGTTCCAAAATTTTGTTTTTTGTGATTTTCGGTACTTTTCTTTCCTTGACTATTTTTTTTTTCAAAAGTGTAGTTGATATTTGTGGCAACTGCAATCTTGTTAAATGTGCAAGTTTAGTACGACTTCGCTATTATGTTTGTAAAAAAGCCTAGGTAGAGGATAATTTCAGGCAATTGATTGTTGTTAATGTGTTTTATGTACTGTATGTGTAATCTTGTCAGGTCTATGACAGTTTTTGCCGAAGCGAACGTTGACGTTGATCTGCGGATGTTGCGTTCTTTCCGCGTGTTGCGACCTCTCAAGTTGGTGTCCAGGATCCCAAGTAAGGGTCGAAACGTCATTAAACCACCACTCTAACTGTCTAGTTGGGGCCCGTTTTAGACCAGACTAGACTATTTAGACGGTTTTAGAACATATACCCTAGATATTATAGATTAGTTCACTAATACACTACTTTATACTACTGGAAACATGATTATTACGGTAGGATAGGAATTTTGGGTACTGTCGATGTCTTCGTCTTTCAGCCATTATTCTACTGATTGCGCCGCGGTGTGCATGTCTGTATAATGTAGGTAGACAGTGCTCGATGCATATACTTATTTCATTTTTATTTGTAGATACATACTTATAGTTAGTCGTACTATTGGATGCTTCATTTGGAAGAATATATTTTGTCTCTGTGTTTTAAAAGTAAAAATTACGTCTTTGATCAATAAGACGCTTCGCAATGTTTTTGCAATGTTTTTGAATCAGGCTTGGTTAGGAACGCCTAAATCGAATCTAAAACAGAATTAAAATTTTTTACCCAAACTAAAAAAGTTACAATTGTCGGTAACAGAGGTAAATCATACTGATTACGTTACAAATTCCATACAAAGATATGTAGACAGGAGATATATAAAAGAATAACATTGTGTCCTATAAACACTGATCTTTGTTTACTCCTGATAATCTGTAAAATAAAATTAAATGAAAATAATGCAGTTTACTTTGAAACTAGCAATTATGTCAACAAAAAGTATTTTTCAATTTATGAATAATGCAGGAAGGTGTTAATAGTCTTTGCCTTATTTTTTTTTCGGAATTTAATGCTCAAGTGATAGTAAATACTTTTCATTAACAGTTGCAACATTAACGAATGCCAAGTTTTTTCTTGAGAGTATTCTGCTTTTAAAATTTTTACATAATTTTTGTTTTTTTTTTCAGTGTGAGATAATTTTTTTTCTGAAGAATAATCCATTTTACTTTATTAATCAAAAGTTAACTCTTGCTGTAATAAAATGTCTGTTTTTATGAAGTTTTGCTTGTTGATTTGCACGAATTACTCTTTACAGCAATTTTTTTTTCAATATGACGTTTTTTTTACATTTTTTTAATGTCACGTTTATTATGAATTAGTTTTGCGTCTTGACTTTATGACACTCCAACTTGAAAAAAAACAGCTACTTTTGATGCAAAGACGTCAGGCATGGATTATGCCACATTTATTAATTGACTACTTGATTGGACATTGTTCAATGGTAGAAAAAATATGGTTTGAGTTCAAGGTACTTCTAAAAATGTGTTTAGATATCTATTGGGATTATGTTATATACAGGATGTTCCATAACTTGTCCTAAAGAAAAATGCTAAGTAAGATAAGACACCGAGAACATGGAAAAAATTAAAAAAAAAAATTTATAAAAATTTTGAAATTATGGGAGTTTAATTGCACTTTGACCGTATTTATTTTTGTTGGAAAAATAATTTTACATGTTTTTTGCTGCAGCCTATTAAAAAGAAAGAAATAAAAAATTGTATCTTGAATTGTCACTATGTTTAACGTGATTTTGTGGCTTTTATTGGCAAAGTTTTTGTACCTTTACTGAATAATTATGAGAAAACATTGAAAACAATAAACAGACATAAAAACTCTTGGCAGTTCGGACTTTTTGAACATTTTTTTCATGTCCTAGTATCTTATCGTACTTTGCCTTTTGCTCTAGGGCTCTAGTTTTGAAACAGCATGTATTTAGTTACAAATAATATATTATTAACTGATAAAGTGTTCACTAGCAGTTTCAAATAATGCTATAATTAAAAAAAGAATGTAGAAAGTCACAGATAGCATAGTCGAATCTTGTTCAGCAAACTGTTTTTTTTTATAAACAATGCAAGTACAATTGAGTGCAAAAAAAACGCAAATTGTCAAAAACAAAATTGTCTAATTTTTCAGAGATTTACATAGTGTGAAACAGGATGTTCCCAAGAAGGTTAGAAAACTATAAAAAGAAATGTCTTACTTAGTGGTGTCATAGTCAGGATTAAAAACAAAATGGAAAAACTTGATAGAAGTTTGGAAGATGCCTGACAAGTTTGAAATTTTGAATTGTAACAAAGACAACGTCATTTTATAACAGGCCAAATTACATTATATAAAAATAAATGTATAGACAACGTTTTTTGGTTTGCATTTAAATTATTTTACATTACTTGACAACTGATTGAAGAAATCAGGAAACGAAAATGATTAAATGCAATTTCAGCTTTTATAATAAAGTGACGGACATGTGTGTTGAAAGGGATTTATATTTTGGTCAGTGAGAATAATCAATATGATTCTATTAGTTTGGTTTGTTGATATAGACAATGTTGTTTCAGACTTGATAACTCATTATTGTCTCTTCATACTCTGTGTGCATTGGTATTGATTGAAGCAATCAGGAAAGTGAAATGTTTGTATATTCTTGCAGATGAAATCCAATATCGAAATTTCTACTATGAATGTACTAAATGTGTGTATATATCACGTTCCTATTTTTGTGTTAGTTTCGAGCATTGTTTATCGTGTTTGTAGCCGGACTGGATTTTGATTACACAGATCAGTACATTTTGACAAAACATCCATCAACAAAATACCGACGAAAAAGTCGGGCTGGTCAATTTTTTCTTGATTTTGCTGTGTGGTGTTACTTTTATTTTCAGGTCGCATCAATTAGTACGTTTACATTTAGTGTATTCGTATTTAAACACATAGTATCATAGCATAGTTGTATTTTGAAGTAGATGAATGGCTAGAGGCTAGTGTTTTGCAGGTGTCTGACGTTGTTTCTTCAGGATTTCGTAGCAGTGGATCTGCGCACGTTGCGGGCTATTCGAGTGCTAAGACCTCTCAAGCTAGTCTCTGGCATCCCTAGTAAGTAGATGAAACGTAGATGTCTTCCAGCAGACTCTTCTCGTCCCGGCCGTTATACAAGAGCGGTCCGAAAACTGAACCCTGCGGGGACCGTTTCGCGACCTATTATCCACTTTTTTCCAATATAAGCAACAACTTACTCGGTCACAAAATAAACAAACACAAACAAGAAAAAATTAAATTCTATTCAAGAAAGAAGCAGTTTTTAAAAATTTATTTTTTTGATTTACTTGTGTTTTTTTCTAATAGGTCTAAAGAAATGCAGGGTGATTTTTGTAGGGCTAATTAGAATAAAAATAAACATTAGAAACTTTTTAACTTTCAATATAGCTGCGGCTTTGAAATTTTGTTTAATTTTTTAATTTAACTAAATTATTTATAAATTGGTTGGATTTTCGGAACTACGAAAAGTTGGCGCCAACTTTGAAATTTTAAAAGGAAAGTACTCATTTTTATTGCAGACTTAATTTGCCTTCTTAGACTGAGTAAAACGCACCTAAGTTGTTGGTACTTATCTAGTTTTTGACAAATGTTAATTTTTTTGTCAAAAGTTTTATTTTCAGGGGTTTATTCAAAAAAACACAGCTATTGAACTCTCTGCTTAAGTAATTTTTTTTTTTTGCTTTTAAAGCAGCTCAACTGATGTCAACTCTTAAATTTCAAGGCATAGTTTCTTTAAACATCATAACATTATTTTCTTAACGGCAATCGAAAAAACATCAATTTTTATGAAGACTTTTATGAACATGTTCCCTATCTATCGCTTGCAATTTTTAAAATAATCTCGAAAAACGGATTTTATCGCTTTATTTTTATCGTTAATCCACAAGAGTTTGGAAAAATGATAGTCAAAAATTTATCCATCGGTATTCGTGAATATTTCATATTGAAGGCAAGACTGGTTCTTTGAATCATTATGTCTTTTTTGTTGTAAGTTACAAACAGGTCTTATACAACTTGGTTGGTAATAAGCCATAATTATTATTATTTTACTGTTTATTGATAATAAATGAGTTAAAAACTAATTAAAAAGTCAAAATGTGACAATTATTGACCATTTTCCAAAGTCTACTCAATTAACTATGAAAATAAAAAGTTAAAATCCGTTTTTCGTGATTATTTCAAAAACTAAAGAGGGTATAAGCCATGTTCAAAAAGTTTACATAAAAATTGATGTTCTTTCAACTCTCAACTGCCGTTGGGAAAATAGGGTCATGCTATTTGAAAAAACTGAGTTATAACTGCTTTTTGATAACCATTTTCAAAAAATTTTATTAGCCTTGAAATTTGAGAGTTGACAATTTTGAGCAATTTTTTAAGAATTATAAGGTTTTTCAAACCTTCGATTGTCAAATGTAAGGAAAAATGCATTTATTGTAAAAGATTCATGAGCTGTGATTTTTTGAATGGACCCCTGCAAATAAAAATTTCGACAAAAAAATTGACATATTATGTCAAAAACTACAGGCTGCGCCAGAACTCGCGCCTCAGAGAAAAATGCCATGTAAGGTAAGATATCAGCTGGAACATGGAAAAAATATAAAAAATTCTATGTATAAAAATTTCGAAATTAAGAGGGTTTAAATTTTGCACTTTAACTCTAACTATATCTGTTGCAAAATTATTTTCTAACTTTTTTTACTACAGGCTATTAGAAGAGGACACAAGGAAGCTGTAACCTAACTTGTATAACTTTGTTTAATGTTATTTGTGGCTTTTATGGGCAAAATGTTTGTACCTTTACTAAATAATTATAAAAAGAACATATACTACAAGATCATCAGTATCATTAAATAGGTATAAAAAAATGTCAAATGTAAAATATAATTGTCAAAATTTTTTAAACATTTTTTCCATGTTTCTGGAATCTTATCTTACTTGAAATTTTTCTCTGGAGCGCGAGTTCTAACACACCCTGTATGGCATAGAAGTACCAACTTGGGAATGTTTTATTCAGTTTGAAAAAGCAAATTCAAAAATGCAATAAAAATAGAGGGTTTTTATTTAAAATTCTAAAGTTGGCGCCAATTTCTCATAGTTTCGAAAGTTCAGAATCTATATTTAGTGATGGGTTGTTATAAATTTAACTACCGAAACATCGATATTTTATTTAGTAAGCTTATTTTCTAACAGTATATCAGTATAAATACATTATGATTTTAGAAAAAAAGGGATTTAATAATTGGTAAAAGTTAAAATGATGGTCGATTACAGAAAATTTGAAACCACGGAATTATTTTCAGAATTTAAAAATGTTTAGCTGGAGTTAATTTTTTTAACTATTAATTTTGTTTGTTTGTTTGTACAACTATTAAAACTAACCCCTATACAGGGTGTTCCAGCAATAATTGAAAGAGTTAATAAATCTACTTTCGGTGTTGAAAATGTGTGTTTTTTTTAATAGTTTTTTGAATTCTATATTGATGTTTCGTTTTTATTATCCAAATAGTTTGAAAACCAGGTATGAGTATGTTGTAGCAACAATAGAAAAATCAGTGATATGGTTAATAAATTTAAATTAGCTGAAAGCCACTATGGTGGATATTCATCAAAACTAAGTTTCATAAAGAGAAAAACAAAGACTTAGTTTGACTAAATATCTACTAAAAAAAGTTACTTATTAAATGTTTGCAATATATTTTCTTCAACGTTGCTTATATTAAACAAAAGTAGATAATGTCTTGTGTGGCGTCCAGTAAACTGTCGCATTTAGGTGATGCAACGTAGCTCTAAATTTAGTTTAGAAGCTTCTCAATCTGGTGCTTTTTCTCTATTTCACTTCCTCTTTTGTATCGTTTGTTTTGACACGACGTCCAGATATCTACAGCAAACACTTTCAACACAATCAACTTTTTTCCAAAAAGAGTTGATTTTTAACTGTGCTTGTATATAGGTCTGCAGGTGGTGTTGAAGTCCATCATCAAAGCTATGGCACCATTGCTGCAAATTGGTTTATTGGTGTTGTTTGCAATTGTCATCTTTGCCATCATCGGACTGGAGTTTTATTCGGGTGCTCTTCACAGAACCTGCTATAGTCTTTACGACATAGGTTTGTAGTCAGTTTTTCTCGTTGTTCGATTGTTCATTGCTTGTTTGTAGATGAAATAGCGAAAGAAGGTGATGCTGAAGTGCCATGTAACACTGATAACGAAACTCAAGCCAGAGCTCAGGGTAGCAATTGGTGTCGGGATGGAAATTCAGTTTGTTTGGAACGGTGGCAAGGCCCTAATAATGGTATTACGTCTTTCGACAATATCGGGTTTGCTATGCTTACGGTTTTTCAATGCATTACCATGGAGGGATGGACAGCGATTCTTTACTGGGTATTCAAAAAATTAACTTTTTTTCCAAATTAATGATTTTTTTCAAGATGAACGATGCAGTTGGAAGTACATTTAATTGGATGTATTTTGTTCCACTTATAGTATTGGGTTCGTTTTTCATGTTAAATCTGGTTCTTGGTGTCCTTAGCGGGTGAGTACCATCAATTTTTTGTTAACTTTTTTGTTAATTTTTGTTTTGTCAGAGAATTTTCTAATGAAAGATTGCGAGTTGAACGCAGAGCTAAATTTTATAGAATGAGGTCTAAAAACATGTTTATTGAAAGTTTCGGTCGGTATCTTGAATGGATTACTGAAGCAGGTGAAAATAGTATGAAAATCCCGTTTTGCTATATCATATTCCTAAAGGCTTGAAGCTGTTTAAGTTTTTTTTTTCTGTGTACTATTTTCTCGGAAATTTTATTAAGCACTAGAAAATCTAAACTGAGACTATAAAGAGAAAAAATTTTCAAAGAACCTATTCTATTTGTCAACATTATTTTTGATCTTTAGAAGAGTAGAAATATTTTTTGAGCCCCTTGTAAGAGTAAAGCTAGTTATGAGTAGCGTAATATAGGCTAATTAATTGTGATAATGATACCAATAATTGCTTTTTGGTGTAGTGAGTTTGCCAAAGAAAGAGAGAAAGTAGAAAATAGGCAAGAGTTTTTAAAACTGCGAAGACAGGCACAATTAGAAAGAGAACTCAACGGCTATGTGCAGTGGATTTGTAAAGCAGGTTTGTGCTTTTTGCTTAAATTTTAAAGCGACTGTGACTCACTTTCAAAAACTGCATTACAGAGGAAGTCATTTTGGCTGAAGAACGAACGACTGAAGAAGAAAAGTTGCATATCATGGAAGCACGACGGAGAGCAGCGAAAAAGAAGAAGTTGAAGAAAATGGGTAAAAGTAAAAGTACGGATACGGAAGAAGAGGAGCAGGAGGAGGAAGTTGCCGATGATGGTAAGAAATTTTCTTTTAGTTTAGTCACTTTTTAAAATTCTTCAAGTATAGAAAAATTTGACTCGATAGGAACACAGTGCGTTATAGTTTTTTTTTTTAAATAGGAATTTATCTGCATGGTAATAAGAATAAATTTGAGACTTCACTTGCATACTCATATTCATCAAAATTTTCAATTTACTTGTACTGACATTCTGTTTTAATCCACAGTATTTCTTACAGAGTCTAAGAAAACGTTAAAAGGTATGCGCAACTGATGGAAAATATTGTGTAAAAACAAGTTTTAGTATTAATTTTAGCTAAAATACTTAAAATCTCTGTAGTGCTTATACTGCGGGTTCTTTTTCTCATGATGGGTAAACGCCACATTTTGATTGCAATAAAATTTCATTCAGTCTCACAAATGTTTACCCTTCATTTAATACCTTCTAGACCTGTGTCGCTCTTTTTCCTTTTCTAATCATCTAAATCATTCCATTTCAAGTTATTATAAGGCTCACTATGAGATATTAATTGTTTTTTTACTTCTGATTCTAAGAATTGATTTAGAACGGTCTTTAAGCTGCTGTTAAACTTTTACTTTTCTAGAAAACGCTAATTCTTTGCATGGATGCACAACAAAATAAGTTTTAGTCATAGTTTTACAAGTTTAGGTGATAGAAATTTCCAATTTTCTTGTAGATTATTTAATATTTCTTGTATTTTGTGTACTTTAGAATCGGGTTTAAATTAATTACAATTACGGTTTAACAATAGGACAATAGTGTTGTATTAAACTAATTATTAGTTAAAGTGCAAAAAATTGTAGCAAGTTTTTTGAACAAATTTACAAAATTGTTTAAAAAAACACTTTTTTAAACTAAATTTACTAACAACATAATTACAAATGTTTGAGATTCATTTAGATGAAAATCAGAAAAGTTTGCATTACATGCTCGTGATTCCTTTCTGAAACTAGTGCTCGTGTTACTTGTATAGTAAACTACTATTTGCCCATAGTTGCAAATAAGCAAAAGACATTCTAATGTCATTTTGTGTCCTTTAATTTAAAAGTTACAAAAAATAGCAAAAGTTTTATTTATATTATTATAAATATATAGGGTCAGAACTTGCGCCCCAGAAAAAAGTTTCGATTTAGATAGATTTTCCATGTTCCTGGTATCTTATCTTATATGGCATTCTTCTCTGGGACGCGAGTTGTGGCGCACCCTGTATAATTAGTTATTAGGTTTTAACGTTTTGAATTATAAACAATTTGCAAAAATTCTCTATTATTATGAATTATTAAGCTTTTCTCCAACAAATAATATATTAAAGTACAAGTTGCAGAAGGTATCTATGCAAGCACAAATTTGAAATTCCGAAACGAGCCGCGAAGCGGCGAGTTGAGGAACAAATAAGTGCTTGAAGAACCTTCTGTAACAAGTGCTTTATACTATTTTTTCTATTTCGCCGCTTTATATCATTTAATAAATTAAAAAACGAAAATTAATTTTTTTTTCTACAGAATTTTGCGACGGTTGGCGACATTTATGTGTGGAATAATTTTAGGCGACTGCAAAAAATAAAAATTATTCTTATTTTCACATTTGAAAATAAATTGTGAAGAAAGTCCGTCACTAAAATTAAATTACCGCGAACGACTTATTCCAGAACGCAAATGACGTCATTTGGGTGCTGGAATAGACTTATTCTAACACCGAAATAGAAAAATATATTTTTTCTAACACAATAATAAAATAAAACACAAAAACAAAAAAGTTGCCTTCGGTTTTTCTAAATTTTGGCAAAGAAGTGGATTTGTAATTTATTTCCAAGAGAGTTCTTACAAAACTAACTTAGAAAATGACGGGAGACAATTTTCTCTTTCCAGAGATTATGTTTTTTTCTCAAGAAATTGTTTTTGATGTTACATTTTTTTAAATGCTTTATTTTTTAAACACAATAAAAGCACAAATAATTAAAAACAAAAAGATTACTTTTCATTAGCAGAATATTATTCTGAGAAATATAATTTTTGGTGAGCTCTGAGACATTTTGTACACATTTTTAAAAATTTGTTGATAAATAATTAAAAAGTAAACAATTATTTAATAACTGGCACTATTTTTACATTATTTTTGTTTTATAACTTTCAATATGAGTTCAATAAATGCACAAAAACATTGTAGCACAAACTAAATTAATTATTAATGGTAATTGTTTTTTTGACACTTTTCAAAAAAGACACGACTTTCAGGAAACAACATTTATATAAATTAAAGTTATTTTTTTAGTTTGCTGCTTTACGTGGATAATAATTTTTGTATAAAAAGTAAAAGTTTAACCGTTGAATAAAATATAATTGTTTAAAATTCAAGCAAAAGAAAGCTTCACAGGTCAGCTTTGGCTGAAACGCCCACCGCATTACCGTTTCGTAGATTGTAAAATATTTACCCAAACTAGAACATAGAGATTGTCTAGAGTTCTGAACAATTAGAATTAGAAAAACTAGTTTTGCAGTAGCTAGAACCAAATTTGGTATTTATTCAGTTTGTAAGTTTTAGCATTCCCTAATAATCCACACAAAAAAACAAACAACTCCTATCAAAATTTAACTTTGTCGCATGTTGAAGTTAGTATTGTTAACAGGATTTGGGCGAACATCGTATATGAAGTCGCGAGCGAAAGGACAAGGTGGTTGTGCTCGGTTTTGGCGAGCTGAAAAGCGATTTCGCTTTGCTATTCGCCATATGGTTAAGTCCCAGTGGTTCTATTGGTCCGTCATTGTGCTTGTTTTTTTTAATACGTTTTGTGTTGCCGTCGAATATCACGGACAACCAGATTGGTTAAGCAAATTTTTGTGTAAGTATCTACGAATTAAGAAAAACAGATTACAGGAGTTGATATTTTGGTTGTATGTTTTTCAGATTATGCCGAATATGTATTTTTGGGCCTTTTCATGTCCGAGATGTTCTTAAAGATGTACGCCTTGGGCCCCCGCATTTATTTCGAGTCAGCCTTCAACCGTTTTGACTGCGTTGTTATTACGGGTTCAATCTTCGAAGTAATTTGGTCTGAAGTCAAGGGGGGCTCTTTCGGTTTATCCGTTTTAAGAGCACTAAGACTCCTGCGTATATTTAAAGTGACGAAATATTGGTCCTCACTGAGAAACCTTGTAATATCGCTGCTCAATTCCATGAGATCTATCATTTCCTTATTGTTTCTTCTCTTCTTGTTCATCCTGATATTCGCGCTGCTCGGCATGCAGCTGTTCGGTGGACAGTTCAACTTCGAAAATGAGACGCCACCGACAAATTTTAACACGTTTCCGATAGCACTTTTAACAGTATTTCAAGTATGTTTTACACTATTTCAATTTTGTTTGATTTTATTGGAAACGATTTTTAGATCTTAACAGGTGAAGACTGGAATGAGGTGATGTATTATGGAATAGAAGCTCTGGGAGGTCACGACAACGGAGGGATGATCTATTCGTTATATTTCATTATACTCATGCTCTTTGGTAACTACACTTTGCTCAATGTGTTCTTGGCTATCGCCGTAGATAATTTAGCTAATGCCCAAGAACTGACAGCTGCTGAAGAAGAACAAGCGGAGGAAAATAAGGAAAAACAAGCCTTAGAGTTGGAAAAGGAAATGGAAGCTCTGCAAATGGAAGGTTAGTTTATATAACCCCGAAAATAGGGTTCGAAAAACAGTAGAAATCATTTTAAACACGCTACAAAATTTTCGGAAATTGTGATCTTGACCTCCAAAGTAAGATTTCTTCTAGAAACGTTTCTATAATTTTTGAAATTAATTAAAACGTTTATAATTTTTTCGCACGGCCGTATATGAAAGTAACTGTTTGCATACAGCGAATTACCTACAAAAGTTGACGATATCAAACGAATCGATTACTTTTTAACACACGTGTGTGTTAGGAAAATAACGTAACAGGTTGCACAGAAGTTGCGTGTGGTAAATAACCTTAATTAAGTAAGTACTTAATACTTATATACACCTAATTTATTTACTGGGGATGTTATATCTTTAACATAAACATTAAATCGTGTCATTGAAAATAAATTATTTTTTTTTGTCGTGGCATCGCGGGGGTCGTGGGAAAAATAGTGTACAAAACTCGCTGGAGTTGTGTGTCTAATTCACTCGTGATGCTTCTAACACTCCTTTCTTGTGCGTTATTTGACACTTTCCCTGCTCGTTATATAATATACTATTTCAAAAATTCTCTACGATTTGACTTTTTGAGGTTTTGGTCAAAACGTGGTTAGAAGAGCAAAAATCAAAGTAGCAAGCTATTTTTTTTTGTATTTTAAAACAAAGAGTAGTTTTAGCATCAACAGTGTGAAATTAATTAAAAAATTAATTGATTTCGGTTATATTTTACGAAGAATTTTTTAAATTGCGATTTTTACTTTCAGACGGGTTAAAGTTCTCCGAAAGTAGAAATAATGTCAATATGATTTTTGTAAATCAATTTAAATAAATTTACGATTTTTATGCTAAATAACTATTCAATTTTCTAAAACTTTTTTAAGTTATTTTAAATAAAGTGAAATATTGCTATTTTTTGCAAAACATGGGCGTGCAACTCAACAAACAAGTAAATAATTGTTCACTATTTTACATTATTAAATATGCATTTTCAGTTAAAAATATACATATTTATAAAACTATGTATCATACATAAAGGTAATGTAGAAAGTCAAAAAAATAATTTTCGCACAATTTATGTTAGACTACACAGGCTGGTTCAGAAGTCTGGAAACGATTTTATTCTGGCGAAACAATCATTTTTTGGCAAATAAATTTATGGGTGTGCAATGGCTATAAAAATGCTATTCAAAAAAAAATTGAATTTTAATTAATTGTTTATACTCACGAGATAAACATAGTAACAATTTTTAATGGAAACCTACTACATTTTTTTAGATAAGGAGCTTGTTACAAGAATTGTTGCTGTGCATTTTTTTTTTGTAAGCCTCACACTTTTTTGTTAAAAAAATGTTTGACACACAAGTATTAAGAATTTTAGTAAGCTACCAGTTTTTTTTGAAATAAATTAATTTAAAGGTTGTAAAGGAGCGGTGCCAAAATATTCTTTATTTTAATTAATTGTTTAAACTTTTGGGATTACCATAATAATATTTTTTTTAATAAAAATGGTTTTTTATTAATTGTTTTACAAAGATATGTTTATGCATTTTATAAATGTACAAAAATATTTTTTATTGAAAATGTTATAATTTATGTTAAAACTTTGATTTGAATTCCGGTCACGTTTTTGTAAATTTCTATTTAAAAAAAAAAAACATCTAGGAAACAAATAAGCAATGAAACAGAAGACAAGTAGGTAAACATAAAGACGTGCAAGACCACATTAACATATTTAAAAATTGTTGACTTATAAAAATGTAAAAATACAAGCTTATCTAATCGAATCCTAAAAAATAAGAAAGTCAAAAAAGACGTTAGAACAGTTTAAGAAAAACAACATAAAAATATTAATAAAATCAAAGAACTATAGAACATAAAAAGAATAGAGAAAAAGTAAAATTCAAACAAACATTAATCATTCTGTATGAAATTTTTGCCTAAAACGTTAAATATGTAAATGGTACTTTGCTACGAGATTGTCCGAATCAAAATTTTTGTGTTTTTTTTGTATATAATTAGCAAGTAAAGTTTTGCATTTTAAAACTAGACACAGTTTTAGGATCAACAGTGTAGAATAACCAAAAAAATAATTTTGTTTTAATTATTATAATTTTATTGGAAAGTTGCTATTTTGACCCACAAATGAAAAAAAATTCTTTCAACATGCAAATATTTGCATAATTTTTTAATTAAACAGTTTAAAATTGAATTTAGACGATTTTTATGTAAAAAAGTCTGAGTAGTTCAAAAATAGTCAGAAATGTGTAAATTTATTTTGCGATTGTTTCTATAACATTTCGATTAAATTGTCTTTGTTGTTTAATTTTGTTTCTAATTCTAGCAGGTTCAAATCCAAGAGTTGAGGTGTGTCCTCCCAGTCCGATCAAAAGCCGGAAAAAGAAAGAAGAGAAGCCTTCCGATGAAGAGGAAGAAATCGTCGGTCCCAAACCTATGCTGCCATATTCTAGCATGTTTGTATTATCCCCCACTAACCCGTACGTGATCTCCAGTCAACAAAAAACCACTAAATAATAAAAAAAAACTTTTTTAGCGTAAGAAGATTTGCACATGGAATCGTAAATTTGCGTTACTTTGATTTTTTTATAATGGTTGTAATTTGCTTGAGTTCAATGGCGTTGGCTGCTGAAGATCCCGTGAACGAAGATTCGAATTGGAACTTGATTTTGGATAGACTAGATTACGCCTTCACTGGAGTGTTTGCCGTGGAGATGCTTCTCAAAATCATTGATCTGGGGATTATTTTACACCCGGGTTCGTATTTGAGAGAATTCTGGAATATCATGGACGCTGCTGTTGTGATTTGCGCGTTAGTTTCAATGGGTTTCGACGTTGCGTAAGTTTTAAGCAAATTTGCGTTTGTAAGGTGAATTCTGGGTTTCAGGCAAAACAAAGCAGGAGCTAATTTGTCGACCATTAAGTCGTTGAGGGTGCTTCGAGTGCTAAGACCATTAAAAACAATTAAACGAGTGCCCAAATTAAAAGCAGTGTTCGACTGTCTAGTGAACTCATTAAAAAATGTGATAAACATTCTTATAGTGTACATATTATTCCAGTTTATATTTGCTGTGATCGCCGTTCAGTTGTTCAACGGAAAATTTCGACATTGTACTGATGCAAGTAAATTCACAGAAGCCACATGCCAGTAAGTAACAGTTTCATCCTTTATAGATCTCTTCAGATTTTAGCAAATTGAATTCAATTTTTTCTATTGTTTGTTTAGGGGTCAGTATTTTATTTTTGATGAAGATAATGATGTGCCTCGAGTAGAAAAACGCGAATGGAAGTTGCAAAGCTTTCACTATGATGATGTAGCTATGGCTATGTTGACTCTGTTTGCTGTTCAAACCGGGGAAGGTTGGCCGCAGTAAGTTACTCAAATGTGATTCTCTTCTCTTAAATTAAAACATAAATCCATTAATCGCACATTTTACCCACAAAAGTCATTTTAAAAAAAGACTCATATGATATACACAGTGTGTTCACGGATTACGAGCAAATAGAACTCGTCAAGAGAAACAACTTTTCTTTTTCCACTTATTCCGAAAACATGTCATTTCTGAGTTGAAATTATGTTAAGCCCCTGTGATCGTAAAAAGTTTGTAAATAAATTGTATTTTTCTTGAAATGTTCAAACATAAAACCAAATATTAAAAAAAAATTAAAATAAACACTCCTTTTAATAAAATGCTTAAATTAAGAAATGTTCATTAATAGTAGGCAAAACTAAATTTGAACAAAATTTTTCCAAACAAAATTTCTCTCCGGGAATATCGCAGTGTTCAAAAACAAAATCAAACTAAATTTGAACAAAATTTTTCCAAACAAAATTTCTCTCCGGGAATATCGCAGTGTTCAAAAACAAAATCGTGGTATCAGGAGCCCAGTAGTGCAAAGCTTTATCTTTCTGGTATAAGAAGAAAAAATTAAAAAAATGAAATCAAAACTTAAAAAAAAATAAAAAAAAATTGATAATTAAACAAAAAACAATCACCTCTTATAAAATAAAGCAAGAACAAGAAGATAAAGCTCTTTGTAGAAAACTTTCTATAATTTTTTTACTTTATTTTCTTAATTTTATTTTTTTTATATTTTTTGAGTTTTTTATGCTTACCAGAGAGATAACGATGTGTACCTACTATCTAAAACTGTAATAAAAAATGTCGGTTAACATGTCATTATAGTGTCAAAACGTAGCATTTAAAAAAATAAAATCAATTCAATTTTTTGGAAAAATGACTGATAAAGATATGAATATTGTGTGTTACTTTTGGTTCAGTTTGTATTATAATTTTATACGTTAAAACAAAATCGTTATATCAAGAGCGCAGTAGTGCAAAGCGAGGCCAAAGCGAGGCTAAAGCGTGAACGTCTGCGCATCATAATGACTGATCACCATCTGCGCATTGCTTTCAGCTTTTGAGCAGGGGCCCTTGCGAATACCTTAAAAACTGAGTCTGAAAATGTGACGTCCGAGATTGAGTGCCTTAAAAACCTCTTTTCACTTCTGCAAACCTGTTACTCACTTTTTGTTTTTGAACATTTTAATTTTTACAATAAATTTATTTTGCTTCTATTTTATTATGTTTTAAACATGTTTTAGCAATGAATATTTTATATATTTCTTTCTGATTTTGTATTTTTATACAGGATGTGTCAGAACTCGCGCCCCAGAGAAAAATTTCAATTAAGAGATAAGTTATTAGGAACATGTAAAAAATGTTTAAAAAATTATATCTGTCAAAAAGATTGACATTTGACATTTTTATGTCTATTTGATCATGCTGATGATCTTGTATATGTTTTTTTATAATTATTTAGTAAAGGTACAAAAATTTTATCAATAAAAGCGACAAATAACATTTAACAGAGTTACAATTTAGGATACAACTTCCTTATTGTTTCCTCTTCTAATAGCCTGTAGCAAAAAACTTGAAAAGTTATTTTTCCAACAGAAATAAATAGAGTTAAACTGCAAAATTTAAACCCTCACAACTTCGAATTCTTTAAACATTTTTTCCATGTTCCTGGTATCTTATCTTACTTGAAATTTTTCTCTGGGGCGCGAGTTCTGGCGCACTTTGTATTTACTGACTAAATATTTTGTTAATATGTATTTTAGACTTAAATACATATTATACGAATTTTGGTTTTTACTTTGAATTTTTTGACAGTAAACCATCCTTTAAAATTAAAAGTAAGTTGTAACTGAAAACCCGTCTTCACCTAATTCTTAATACGATGTTTACAGTCATTCATAAAAAAAACTATGGAACGTAAACAGCAAAAGACAAAAAAATTAATTAATGTCGTAGAGCTCCATTTTGTAAATATCACATGTCCCTCTGTGTTGCCAAGGGCAGGTCCTCCATCAGATATACCATGTTCCAAAAAATCTACCTAAGCGGTACTAATTAAACGTTGAAGTAATTGACGCTAAACAATTGTTATTTTTTGTGCACTAAGTTATCCCTTTTTGTGCATAAAAACTTTCACGGTCAACATTTAATGAAGGAAATTATTTTTACTAATAATTTTATTTTTACCTAACAAGGACAGACACAATGAACGACTCGTAAAAATTATGGAAGGGGAGAAATGAAAAAAAAATTGGATATGGAATTTGTTTGGTCTTTAAATTGCTTTCCCATAACGAAATATTTTCGTGGTTAGAATATTTGCTTGTAATCCTCAAACACCATGTGTAGTGAGTGTCAAAACATCAATTTATGATAATTCATGATATAGCTGAATTGGTACTACAGTTTGTAGTTTGAAACAGTTTGACTAATTTGCAAAAAAAATCCGAATTCATGTTTTGACTGGGCTGAAAACCTAATTTGTGCAATTAATTCAAGGGTTCTTCAACATTCGATGTCTGCCACATATGAGGATCAAGGCCCTATTCAAAATTTTCGAATAGAGATGTCCATTTTCTACATTGTATATTTTGTAGTATTTCCGTTCTTCTTTGTAAATATATTCGTCGCCTTGATCATTATAACATTTCAAGAACAGGGTGAAGCAGAATTACAAAGTGGTGAAATCGACAAAAATCAAGTAAGTGAAAAATCAATTTTATATCCACTCCATTATTTTTTTTCAGAAATCTTGTATTGATTTTACGATACAAGCGCGACCTTTGGAGAGGTATATGCCTAACAAGCGAAACAGCTTTAAATACAAGATCTGGAGGATTGTGGTATCCACACCTTTTGAATATTTTATTATGATGCTGATTGTATTTAACACGTTGTTGCTGATGATGAAGGTATGTATTTTGTTATTTGACACGATACGCAAACTACACCAACAAGTTAAAAACAGATTCAAGATGAAACTTATGAATTTTGTGTCATAAGTTTCATTTTACGTGCTTTTGAAACAAAAACGTGACAAAAGTCGGCAGTGTAGGTTCAGAAAAAGAAACCAACAACACACAAAAATTTCATGCAATTTGCACACATTCAAATGCATCATATTCAATGGGCAAAGGCATTGTGTTTTATGAGAACTTCATTTTCGGCTTGAGAACAAGAGACACGCTACTAAGTACATAGATACCCAAAAATCAAAATTAGAATCGAACTACTGTCTAGTATATAGATCGATGTTTTCCTGACCAATTGGCTATTCTAGTTTGAAAAGTATCCTTAGTGTCGTGCTAAGTACATTCTGGCATGTTCTGTGACTGCTATTTTGCTTCGGAACAACATCAAATCGATCAAAAGTCAAGTTAGGTTTGCGCTTAAATTTAGTAAAATATCAAGTGCAAGTTGTGTTGATCATGTCCAGAATTTCTCATACACCTAAGCATGATTTGTGTATAAATGTTGAAATCTCAGTGATAACGATTCGGATTTGGCACTATTGTGAATGTATTTGGGGTCTCGGCTGTATTTATCCTAGAATATGACAAATTCAAGGATTGTCTTGCATTGCTCTGGCTGCAGTGCACTTGTACAACACAAATCCTTGTAGTTTATTCTCATAGAGTGTAATCCACTTTTATACCTTTTTCCCGTCACATAGTTGTTTCGATGTGTTGTTTAGAGTGCGCAAAATAACACTTCCTACAATGTTTAGTGTTATTTCAAACACTTGGTGTATTCCCGAACCACTTTAATGTTCAATTCTGTAAATATTTGACGTGGTGTTTAATGTCCGACTTTTCACATATACAGAAGTTTTCATCTCAGTTTTTCTGTATATGAGAACTGTACATTTTATTGTCATAAATGTTAAGACTAAATGTGCTAGTATAACTCATTGGTAATAAAATAAAATAACCAACAACGCCATTTTACACATAATTGTATTTGTGTAATCGTTATCAAATCTGAGTGGAAATATTTTGATTTTTCACAGTGATTACTTTTGCTGTTTTTACAAGGTGTTTAAGAAAAATTATGCATTTTTGTGTACTCTTTTGTCTTGAAAAGTATTCAAATTTATTAAAAGAAATACATTATTACAAATGCGTAAAAATCGCAGTTTTTTAAAATTTGCTTTACTTTTCAAACTCATTTTTGTAATTAATGCGTTTTTGATTTTTTTTAACAGGATGGCAAATTTATAGCAAGTACTTTTAGTTTTTGCAACATTTTAAATAAATTTCGGTTTTACTATTTTTTAAATAGGAAATGTTCCTAAAATAAAGCATTATACAGTGAGCGGCAAAATTATAGAATAATATCATTTTTAGAAAATACAAAATTCTTATATTCTCAACTTGATTTGAAATTGTATGTTTGTTTTTATTGATATTATCTCACTTTTTTTATGATTTTTTATTTGAAAACTATGTAATATTTAATATTTTGGTGCTATCATTTCGGCGATTAAAAAATCTATCGAATTGGCTAAAAAAATAGGGGTTTTTCCAAGTAGTTTTTTCAAAAAAATCCTTGGTCAGGTATATTTAATTTTTGTAAATGCTATATTTTGACATTATAGTGGTATTTATTACATCATTCGTTTTTGAGTTGACGTCATTTTTAATTTTTTAATGACAACTGGCATTCACTCTTTTAAATTAAATTAAAAAAAATTGATAATTAAAGAAAAATCACCCCTTATAAAATTAAGCAAGAACAAGAAGATAAAGCTGTTTGCATAAAACTTTCTATAACTTTTTAAAGTTTTTTTATTTTATTTTTTTCATTTTTTATTTTTTTGTTTATTTTTTTGAGTTTTTTATGCTTACCAGAAATATAACGATGTATACTTATTATCTAAAACAGTAATACAAAATGTCGGTTGACATTAAAAAAAATAACGTCATTACTCGAAAACGAATGACGTCATAATTGTCATTATAGTGTCAAAATGTAGCATTAAAAAAAATCAAACTATTTGAGAATTTTTTTTTAAAATGACTGATAACAAAGATATGAATATTGTGCGTTACTTTTGGTTTAGTTTGTATTATAATTTTATGCGTTATCATTTCTAAAGAAAGTTGTTAAAAAAGACAAAGTTTGAAAGTAGAGCTCAGAATATTCAAAGCAGGGCTTAACTCTGTTTGGCCCCCCTCTAGCTACGGGTCTGAGTTAAAAAAAAAACGTCAATGACGTCATAACTCAAAAACCAAAAAGTGTAAAATTTAAATTAAGTTGAAAATTGTATATTTTTTAAAAACAAAATTGAGCTATTCGAGCATTTTTGACAAAACAAAATATCAGTTTTAATAAGATTATCATTATTATAATTGTGCGGCTCACTGTATTTGTTGGTGAAAAGAGCAAATCATAAACAAAAAACATTTTATGTTAATTACTTCTAACACATGTCAAATTTACAATTTCCACCTTTCTTGCCTGTATTTCATCCAATCATAAGCGTCTTTTGTGATAAAACTTCTTTTCCTGCTGTGATATTTATAAATTTTTTAATTTCTCTTTATTAAGTGTTTTTGGAAATAATAATCTAATCAAATACAGGGTGCGCCAGAACTCGCGCCCCAGAGAAAATTTTCAAGTAAGGTAAGATACTAGGAACATGAAAAAAATGTTTAAAAAATTCTATCTGTCAAAAAATTTTGACATTTATTTTTTGATATTTGACATTTTTTTATATCTATTTAAGGATACTGATGATCTTGTATATGTTTTTTTACAATTATTTAGTAAAGGGACAAAAATTTTCCTAATAAAAGCCACAAATAACATTGAAAAGAGTTACAATTTAGGATACAGCTTCCTTGTTTCCTCTTTTAATAGCCTATAGCAAAAAAACTTGAAAAATTATTTTTGCAACAGAAATAAATAGAGCCAAAGTGCAAACTTTAAACCCTCATAACTTCAAAAGTTTTATAGATAAATTTTTTTTAACATTTTTTCCATGTTCCTGGTATCTTACCTTTTATGGCATTTTTCTCTGGGGCGCGAGTTCTTGCGCACCCTGTATAACTAGACCATCGAATTTTATGAATTTCAACTCAAACTTTTTTAGAAATGTATACCTATTTAAAAATCCAGCTTTGCTGTCGGGCTTTAATCAAAATATAAATTTCTAAATTCAATACGGCAAATCATCACAAAAAAAGTTTTCCTAAAATTCACAAATTTATTCGATAAAAAAACGATGGTTTTGTTATGTTACCTATGAAAATATCTCTCCTGCTCTCTTAGAAAGTCGAATAAAAACGATACAAAGACATTTATTAGGATTTCCACTCACTTATTCTCTCATACAGTCTTTTTATATTACATTAGAAAAAAAGAAAGAACGAAATATTGTAAGCATTACTTAGTCAAAAAGTTCGCTGAAAAAGTTATTACCTAAGTTTGTTTTTATTTTTATAATTATTTTATTATTTTATTTTATTAAGCAAATAAATATAATGGATAACTTACTAAAAAGGAATTAAATATCTTTGGGGTTTTAAAATAATCAAACAAATATCGTGTCTTTAATCTAATTTAATTCAATTCAATTTTTATTAAGAAAACATATACTTTGTGTTAGTGCGAAAAACTAGTACTCCATTAGTGTGACTTTGGTTTTTTGGTTTTTAATTATTTACATTTTTATACCTTACTAACTTTATTAATGTTTAAACAACAATGTTTGATTCAGACTGCTATAGTAGCTTGTATTTACTGACTACTTTATTCATTTAATATAAATAATGAATTTGTAGAGTAAACATTAAGCTTATTTCTGAATTTCTGTTTTTTTTTTTTGGTAAATTTGAATACTTATTAAGTTATTATTAGCAGAATTATTTCCATACACTGCTTGGTAAAAATCAATTCGGACTTTTGTTATGAAAATGAGTAGTATTTTTCTGAAATTTTAGTTAGGAAGTTTTACGGTGAAAATACTTAAAAAAAGTGGTGAAATGCTAAAACTTCCTAAATAATTGAAAATTAGTTAATAAAAATAGATGTAGAACAGTATACTGGAAATTTTGGCCACGTGTTGTGTGTGTTTTAACAGTTTGACAAGCAAACCGAAATCTACACGAAAACGCTTAAGTACCTCAACTGGGGCTTTACGGGCATGTTCACAGTGGAGTGCTTCCTCAAGATCCTAGCCTTCGGCGTTCGGGTAAGACCATGTAGACTATAGGCTGTCGAAAAGTCAAAAGACAGCTCTTTATTTCATTTTGAAAGACATTGAATCCGCGTTAAAATACGAGAGACAAAAAGACAGATATCCTGATCCCGCTCCTGGTTCCCCTGATGCCAACCAACACTTTCACTGTGCTTGCTGTTTATTGTGTGTGCATGTTTGTAAAGTAGCTGCAAATGCATGATGGTCACAGATACACACAACACGACAAGAACGAAGAAGAAGAGCGTTTTTAAATGTATTTTTGGTTGTTTTTCTCGAAGAAATAAAATACTGGCTCTGCCGACTTTTTAACCTGTACAACAGGTAGGCGTTTTGCTTGTAGAGTAGTCGCTACATTTTGTAAGTTGTTGTAGTACCACGAGTCACCGCCCTTGTTGTCCGACATCCTGGCAGCAATGAATATTCTATTTACCTTCCTCTTCCTTTGTGAGACTGTTCTCAAGCTCATCGCTTTCGGCATCAAGGTAATCTTTTTACTCATTTTCAAGGTATCATTACACTTTTTAGGTACAAAAATTCTCCTTCAGTACTGGCACTTCATCATTTTTGAGTAGTTTTAGATCAATCATGGCACTTTTATCCCAAGTAGTTAGATTTTGGCCAGTAGTTAGAAGCAAGTAGTTTATGAACCACTGGTTCCCATAGACGAGAAATCAGCCTTAAGTAATATTCTGCTTTCGGTAGACGCATGGTCTAAATTATATTCATTCCTTATCCCTTTTCCGAAAATTCTACTACACAAATTTTGATTAGTTTTGCTCAAACGGAATTTAGTATCAACCCCTTAAGTACCTCACACTTAACCATCCCCAAATTGCCTCTCCATAGGTCTAAACAAAGAAAAATTTAATTTCATTTTAGAAATGTAGATTTAGATCTCCCACTTTCCCAATTTATGCGAAAAATAGTAGAAATTATAATTTCTTAGATTTTTACATGCTTAGTTAATTAAACAATCATTTCATGTTGTTGCAAATTATCTAGAATTTTGAGAATGATTTTTTGTAGCTTATATCATATTTTATATATAATTACTTACGTTTGGTCATTCCTGAATTTGTAAGTATGAGAGCTTTTCTTCATTCTTTGGTAACGAAACGAGATAATAAAAATATAGAAGTAATTTTGAATGGCATGACAATGGCATAATTTTGAATATGTAGTAGAATTCATCATTTTTCATTGGTGAATTAGCTCAAGTTCTACTTTTTTTATAGCAAATTATTACAAATTTTACTATGTCAATCAATGTAGTATAATACACTACTCTAAAAAATTAAAGGAACAAAAAAAAATTCTCAAATTTTTTGGTAAGGTTGTTTTTTTCTCACGCATTTTGCGTGATTAGGTTTAGGTTTGTGTGATTACCACAGTTCAGAATATTTTTTACCAAAGATCTTAAAACTAGAAACTTGAAGCTACAAAATGTTTTTTACAAATTTAGATAAGACCATTTTTTATCACTAAAATATTTAGAATTTTTTTGTTTCTTTAACTTTAATTTTTTATAAATATGTAACGTAGATTTTATCAAAAATTTGTTTAGGTATAACTTAGAAGAGAAGTGATTTGTATGATGTTTGAATTTTCAAGAATTTTAAAATAGAATTTTTAGTTTAATAAATTATTTAAAAAAGTGTTTAATAAAATTTTAACAAATTTTTATTTTCTTCCTCTTATATTTTTTAAATTTTCATTGAAGAATTTGTAAAAAAATCACAAGAAAGACTTCTTTCTTTTTTGCAGAATTTAAATTTGAAACTCGTTTGTTCCCATTAAAAACAGCCAAAAAAAACATTTTTGAACTTCAAGCCCGATTTTCTCAAAACTTTTAATAATTTTTTAAATTAAACTTATTTTGGAGTAATCGACGATTGTTAATCCCGAAAATTAACGCACTCGCTGTGCTCGTTCCTTATACTATTTTTGCTTCAACCACGTTCACAATTTTTACCTTTTTTCCTTCCTTGTCAAACGTATATACCATTACAATTTTTTTCAGTGAATTACTGAATGACGCTAGAAATGTAACAGTTTGAAAGTGATGATAATTATAATTTGTAACAACATGGTTTAAATTTAAAAAATTGTGAAATATAAATTGTTGTTATTTCTTCTAATTTGACTTTGTTTTCCTAGAACTTCTTCAAAGACCCTTGGAACACCTTCGACTTTATAACAGTGATCGGCAGCATCGTGGATGCGATGGTCGTCGAGTTTGGGGTAAGTTTCCCATCTGATTAATAAATTAATTAAAAATCTACATATCTTACAAAACAAATATAACCACAACACAAATTACACAGATATTTTCGTCAATCTGCGTGCAAGGTACAGGTTGATAAAATTTTGGTTTCTCCAGCACTATTAATGCATTGAATGTTTTTGCACAATATTCAAATTTTTGTTAATATTTTTACTAAATTGTGTTTTGTTCAATTCAAGGAAAGAGCAGCGAACCTTGCGAAAGAAAGGGTACGTTGTTAGTCCCATTCTTCCATAAAATGTGACAATAAGTGACCCATAGTTAAATGTTTAGAATAATAAAACTTTTAGACTAAAGTGAAAATAGGTATTTGCAAGATTATTTATTAATAATTACTGGTTATTTTTGTGCTTTATAGTTTGTAGCAAAGCAGTACGATTTCGAGAGTTAGTCAGAATAAAATCGTACTTCTTTGTTTTCGAATCCTTGTTTTATAACGAAGGTTAGTTTTTAAACACAAAGTTTGTTTATTGCTAGATTTTGCTTTAACCTATTCCTTTTTGTAGTCTCGAAAATCCGGAGCAAAATTAGGTACCTTTGATAGCATCGTTAAATGGATACAGGTATATATTTGCAGATTTTAATAAGTTGTTTAAGTGTACACTTTCATATGTGGTTAATATCTTCTTTTTCTAACCGACCAAACTTAAAAGAAATCTTATTAAAATCTCTAAATAGGGAATAAGTATCACAATTTCCAGTTTTAGCATGAGCATTTTTACTGTTCACTGTGCATGCTACTAGAGCACTAGTTTGGTAAAATGTAGTTTAGAGTATCATTAGATTTATTTGAGAAGAGATTAGTTTCTGCTTGGTAAGTATAAGCAGTCACACACCATAGAATACACAAACAAACTACATATTACATTACATTTTCTTGTAGAGTAAAATAATTGAAGAACTAGACTTGTTTTAGAGCTAGTAGTCCTAAAGTAGTGTAATACAGTTATTATAATTCATCGTTTTTCGTAAGGTTTTAAACAAGATGTTTTAGCAAATGTTGAATTTTTTTAGGAAAACTTTATCAATGTCGGATTTTTGAGATTGTTTCGTGCGGCCCGATTGATCAAGCTTTTACGTCAAGGCTATACCATACGTATTCTTCTCTGGACTTTCGTTCAGAGTTTTAAAGCTCTTCCCTACGTCTGTCTTCTCATCGCAATGCTATTTTTCATCTACGCTATCATTGGAATGCAGGTACAAATAAACAACAAAAAGTATTGTGGCTTAGTTTGTGATAAAAAAAAATATTTTAAACAATATTGAGGCTAAAATAATTTTTTTAACAAACATAAATTTGATTTTTCAACGCAATGAATGTGTTATTAGATTAGCAGAACGATCTGTATATAAAAAAATACATATTTATTTCAATTATTTAGTGTTATTAAGTTTTTCTAAATTGTATCAATGTTTTGTTTAAGGTTTCTACATACAGGGTGAATATAAAGTATGGAACCAAGCGGTTTTATTTTTAATCATTTGCCTCCAGAAAATAAAAATTAATATAAATTAAAGTGATATAAAAAATGTGATCGTATTTTCAGAACGAAATTTTGTTTTGTTTTTAAGTTATGCGATATTTTTTTGTCAAAATTGCAATTTATGTGATTTTTTTTTTTTAATTCAATATATAGCAGATAGTTGTAATCCTTAGAGTATAGCTTTTATGAGAAAAATGATTTTATAGTGGGTTGCCATTTAAAAAAATATTTTTTTTGTATAACTCAAAAACAAAAGGAAATTTCGAAAAATTTTATTCTCGTTAAATCATCACATTTTTATAGTACCTTATCACTCATCAATTAGTTTTTTCAAAAAATAAATAGTTTAAGCAAAAAACGTTTGGTTCCATACTTTTTATTCACCTGGTATTTGTCATTGTATGAAAAACAAAAATGCAAGATACAAAATAATAAGTCGTTCTTTGCAATTTTTTGCAATTTTTTCACTTAAAAAAATACATGTTTATTGATTTTTAAATTTTAACATGTGTTATACAATATAATATTGATTTTAACACTAAATAAATTTTCCTTTTTTCTCTTAGTTTATGGTTAAATGGAAAAATCAGTTTGCAAAAAGCTCTTGTTTTTTAAATCTTATTCATTTTTGGAATAACAGACAGTTTTGTGCTCAAAATTTATTTTGCTTGTAGGCAAAAATCTACTCACGTTTTTGCAAAAAAGAAATTACAGACAATAAAATAATGAAAAATTGAGCATATTAATTTCTGTAAATAAAACGAAAAAGTTTTGATTTTTATTATTTTTTGTAATTGTTTGCAAAAATGCTCATTTAAGCAAAAAGAATTTTTTTTTATAAAAATCACAATTTTAAATGGGTGAAAATGTTCTTATTATTCCTTTAGGGTAAATACCTTTTTTCAATTTTTATTTGCTTTGGTTTTGTGGGCCCTTTCATATCTTTTTTATGTTTAAACTTGGTTTCAAAAGTTTTCATTTGTTTTATGAATATCAAATTTTTCTTTTGTCTTTTCTTTTTCTTGTTACTTTTTTTCTTTGTTTTCTTTTTGCAATTATAAATTTCGATTCTGTGGTTATGAATTATTTTCGTAAAATTGTTAAAAAGTCGAGTTTTACGAAAAATACAGTGTACAGAGTGCGCCAGAACTCGCGCCCCAGAGAAAAATAAGGTAAGATATCAGGAACATGTAAAAAATGTTAAAAAAATCTATCTATAAAAATTTCGTAATTATGAGAGTTTAAATTTTGCACTCTGAGTATTTATTTCTGTCGGAAAAATAATTTTCCAAGTTTCATTGCTACATGCTACTCGTATTAGAAGAAGATTAAAGAAGAGAAGAGAAGATAACTCTATTAAATGTTATTTATGGCTTTTATTGGTAAAATTTTTGTATCTTTACTAAATAATTATAAAAAAACATATACAAGATCGTCAGTATCATAAAAAAAAGTTAAATGTCAATATTTTTCGACAGATAGAATTTTTTAAACATTTTCTTCATGTTCCTGGTATCTCCCTTGAAATTTTTCTTTGGGGCGCGAGTTCTAACACACTCTGTATTAATGCTGATAAATATAATTTATCGAAAATATCTATTTAATTGCAACTAGCTTTTTGTTCTCCTCTTTATCTTTTTCTTCTTTTTGAAACTAACTATATTTTATGATGCTTAAATCATCGATTAAGTTTCTGAAAACTGCCAATGATAGCAGTGATTGTTTTTTGAAAAATGTAACTCAAAAGAAATTGTAAAATTATATAGAAGTACGAATTTATTTTTAAAATAATAAATAAAAAACAGAAAATTTGCTTATTTATGTTTTAGTGTTTCAGTGTGTGTCTCAGTGAGCTACTGAAGTGTTTATTAACCTTTAAGTGTTAAAATATTTAAATAAAAAAATAAAACAAATGCAAATGTGATATTTTCTTGTTTTTCTCTTGAATTAATACGAGGCATAAGATAACTCATATACAAAAACATAACCAATTTCTTGCTTTTCTTCGTATTCTATGAAACATTCTTTTAAAGCGCCACAAACTTTTTCTTTCCCATTTGTTGAGTTTTTTTTTTACATAACGTTCTTGTAGGTGTTTGGAAATATCGCGGAAGTCCCTAGCGCGTCCATAACTCGCCATAATAATTTCAGGACATTTATCCAAGGATTAATGCTTCTGTTCAGGTACTTTTTGCCTTTTTAAATTCTGTTAATAAAATTTTAATCAACAGATGTGCAACCGGTGAAGCTTGGCCTAATATTATGTTATCTTGCATCAAAGGACAACCTTGTGATCCTGAAGCGAAGAAACCTCCCAACAGTTGCGGTTCAAACATCGCTTATGCTTATTTCGTCTCATTTATCTTTTTCTGCTCATTTTTGGTAAATCGCAAACGTTTATAAAATCTCCACTCACACACCTATTTCAGATGCTGAATTTGTTTGTTGCTGTAATTATGGACAATTTCGATTATTTAACTCGCGATTCTTCGATTTTGGGGGCGCATCATTTGGATGAGTTTGTCCGGATTTGGGCTGAATACGACCCGAATGCGACGTAATTTTTCCCAAATTTAAAATTTCAAGTCTGATTTTTTTTATTCTAGTGGAAAAATTCACTACATTGAAATGTACGACATGCTGAAAAATATGGACCCTCCTCTCGGTTTCGGAAACAAATGTCCGAATCGGCTGGCGTATAAAAAACTGATTAGAATGAATATGCCGGTTGATGAAGAGGGAAAGGTGAATTTCACAACAACTTTATTTGCTTTAATTCGCGAAAATCTCAACATAAAAATGAGACCGGGTATGTAGTGTGTTTGAAAATTTCCACAAATGGTAATGAAATTTCAGCCGAAGAGATGGATCAAGCCGACGATGAATTAAGGGAGACAATCAAAAATATCTGGCCCTTGCAGGCCAAAAACATGGTCGATTTGTTGGTCCCACCGAATGACCATTTAAATAATGGCAAATTGACTGTGGGTAAATTATATGCCGGGCTTTTGATTTTGGAAAGTTGGAGGAGCACCAGATTTGGGCAAGTGGAACCAACTGGGATTCCGGTAAGAGAGGATTTCACATGTTTGTTTTTTGGATTAGCTGTAACAAACGATACAAGTGCGGAATACACAAACTTGTGGCCCAAAATACATGTTAATTGTTTATGTGTACAGTGTATGTACTACAGGATGTATAAAAAATAAAACGAAACATATTTTGAGTTTTTGAACAAAACAGGCAAAGTTGTAAACGCAAAGAAAACAGAAATGGACTATTTTTATGTGACTGAGACTTTTGACTGAATTTTGCGCGAAATATTAATGCAGGAAAACATCGATAAAGTTGATGGTAATGTAACATTAAATGCAAAAATTTTGGCTTCTATTTTTAACCAAAAACCTCAATATAATGAAAGTTAAAAAAAAATAGACTTTTTAAAAAATCAAAGATTTATAAGTTATGTAAAATTATACCGAGAATTTGCTTGTGTAGATTGCGGGACTGAACTCTCGATTTTTGCCATTCAATAGATACTGGAATACAGACTTCGTTGTTTTTTAATTTCCTCCCCAAAGTTTTCCCCAAAGTTTTGGGAAAAACGCTTATAAAGTTTTACAATTTTAACTTTTTTGGCAGTTTTGACACCAGTGAAAACTATTGAAAAATCATTGTGGATCACTTTGTATATAAGATGGCACAGTTTTCAAGTCAAAAAATATTTGCAATGTCTATTTTTGATTATATCAGCGATTTTCTCAGTAGCTACGCATTGCAGCAATGATTTTTCGACAAAATAACAAACTAAAAGTGCTTTCCAATGGTACTAAACATAACGACTAACAGTTTCAGAGTTTTTGGCGGATATTATGCTCTGGTAGTAACCAAGTGATAAAAATTTGGAAAAAAGTAGAGAAATCAAATCTTGTTTTTGAGTTACGATTTTATACAACATTATATCTCCTACAGAACGAAAAATAATAAGGGTGTTCCATTTTTATTGTTACAAATTTAAAGAGGTGATTTTAAGACAAAAGTTTCTTAAGAACATGTATCGAAAAATACTACTTAAAAGAGCTACACCTCCTGAAAGAGGTGTGTTTTTTAATGGATTTTTCCCAATATTTCAGAAAAGATAAAATTATAAGATTTGGTGCAAACTGATAACTTGTATAAACACCTAAACGAAGTCAATTATTTAATCAGGAGCGTCCTAAACTGAAGGAATATAAGGTAAAACAAATGTAATTTTTATGCTTTTAATTTGATTCTACTTAGAAATGGTAAGTTAAGTTGTATCCAAAAAAATACAAGAGATCTCTTTTTTGTGAAAAAAGGCACTTTTTATTTTATTTCAACATTTTATTATCTTTGAATTTGTAGGTGTGTAAAGGTCATCAGCTGTACTAAATTTTGTAATGTTACCTAAAATGGTTTCTGAAATATTAGGAAAAAAAACATCAAAAGATGCACCCCTTTCAAGGTGTACATACTTTTTTTCGAAGCATGACCATAGGAAACTTTTGTCTTAAAACTGCATCACCTGTTTAAATGTGTAACACTCTTTATAATAATATTATTATTATTTTGAATAATTTTTTACAATTTCTCTAATACCACAAGAATTTGCGTTTCTGGTATGTCGCGGTCTTGTTCAAGATTTTAAAACATATAGAGAGGATTTAAACACTACTGTTTTTTAGTGAAAGATGTTTAAAAAATGCTTCTAGCAAAAAAATTAAGTGAATAAAATTTTTAAGGAATTTATTGATTGCACGCTGAATCAGAAATCAGAAAACTTTCTGATTATTTTTGGAATAATTTTATCGATGCTTTGTTGCTATTGATTTTCTTGTTAAAATCCAAGACATATTGTTTGATCCGCCGTGTATTTTTGCTGTCCTGCAACCCTTCCATACGTAAACCTTCAGTCCGGATACTAGTTGCCGTTTGAAATTGTTTCCAAGAAAAGTATTAGAATGTCGGATTTCTAGTATAGGTGTTTAGTATGTGTTTAAACTAAGAGATAGTAGGCACATTGAGTGTAGTAGTAAATGGACCCCATAATCACACTAAACATAGTAGAGTCTCCCCGATTTTCTTTATAATACATCTTTGATTTTTGTATTATAAATGAGAAGTGACATTACACAAAACAAAAAGTTAGATCAGAAGTAGTAACCCTATAACTGTTGTATATTTATTTCAGGGTTTTGGAAATAGTCCCTCAGCAAATCACGCGGTAGTATATAATAATTATCCCTTTTTAATTTTTCTATATTTTTCTTAGACTTGTATAATATTATACAAATTCTCATTCATAGTACAGTCCTGTAGTAGTAATTTGATATCTCTTTTTCTCTATTTATCGTTAGCATAATGTGCCTGTTTATTGCACTCTGGTTGCGTTCTATACATATGAAAGTGCATTTATCTGTTTTGCAAGTTTTAATAAATGTCTGTATTTGTCTATAATCGTAGAACTAACATATCTCTGCATGTTTTAATTACTTTTCACTAACATTTGACGAGGTTTACCAGACATTTGTCATGTTCTAGCATGCGCCTACCCTTATTTTCCATTTCTAGGGTTTTTTCCAAAATTATTTTTAGAAAATCAGTAAGTATAGAGTTTTCTAAAATACCATTGATTTGACACTCGCTCAGTTGGTGGTTATCACGTATTGCTCACTAGTTTTTCTCTATTTGCTTTTTGAGTATTCTAGTAATTCTCTACTTGTATCATAATTGCTTAAAAAAATTAGAGGTAGGTTTTAAAATACTCAAAGTATTTGTTTGAATTTTTTGCATGTTTTTTGTGTCTTAAAATACATCGTCGACGATGTTCAGGCCACATTTCGTATCTCAGAGTCAATTAGTGAATTTTTCAATAGCACTAGTACAAGTAGCGTTCATTAAAGTGCAAGAAAAATTTTGAAAAAAAAATGAGGAAAATGTACAGCCGTTTAGAATAGAACTGGTTATTAAAGTTTGTTGAATGACAGAAAGCGTCGTTTTTTGACTGCCTGTTGGATATGGCGGGTCACTTGGGCGGAAGTCGAACAGGTTCAGTGAGTTTAGAAGGCGCCCCACTTATGGGTAGCCAAGAAGTTCCAGATTCGCATGCCCATGAAGAAAGTTCTTTGGCTACTCTCGCACGAAGAAATACCAAGCGAAATCGGTCCATGAGGTAAACGTTTTAACGGAAAACTGAATTTTCTCACAATTTCTTTCTCTATTTCAGGAACAAAAAGGTGAAAATATGCATTTGGCGGTAATTAGATATAGGCCAAACAGGTTTAGGTTTAACTTAGTTATGAAATACCGCAGTCATAGGTAATTGTTGGATGTTCGTTTACAGCTGCAGATAATGGTGTTATTGTTGTAAGTTAGACGAGAGATTAGAAGGTATTTTTAGAAGATTAGACTTGGCGACGACAAACACGGTTTTAGCTCTTATAGAATCAATACGTTGTAGAAAATGTAGCCCAACAAGGTGATCATTTTTGATCATGTGGAGCATCAGTTGGAAAAATTGCAGGGAAATTTTCGTAAATTGTTATTGCAAGAAAACATTTAGATGATTTTTAATCAATATCTAGGTTTTTAGAGTAGCAAGAGTAGTTTTGATGTTGATGTTAGAGAGTACATCGCACAAACTTTTTCTCAATCAACTCAAATCGTTGAGTATTTTACTCACAATTTAATAAATTTGCTAACTTCTTATTCGCCGTCTATTTGCATTATTATTTCGATAATTATGAAAAGAATGAAATTGGGAATTTAACTTTTTTATAATAAGTTTAAAACTGTGATTTTACTATTTAAATATTCTGAAGACATTAACACTTTATTTTATAGTAGTTGCATCGAACTTTCTAAAACTTGATTTTTCATATTGAATGTTTTTAAATGTCACATTTTTATATACAGGCTGTCCCAGCGAGTTGAAAAAGTCCATTAGTGACCTTTAAATGGTAAAATTAAAAAAAAATTATTTAGGACATTGATAGAAACTTATGTAGTCCATCGCCTAAAATTATTTAACTAGACAGCGTGTCTCAAAAATAAGTTACAATACAGACTTGTGTTTTTTTAATAAAACACAATATGTTTCTTAGCATTTTTGGATGTAGATTTTTATGACAATATTTTTAAGTTAAACTTTTATTGGTCGATTTGGCTTAGTTTTAAAAATAAGACGGGTTTTTTGACGAAAACAAGCACTTTTTAAGACATCTAGAAATATATTTTTACTACCGCAAAGAAGAAGGTATGTATAAGGCTGTAAAATTTCTTTAGTGTCTTGCACTTGAAAAGATAAAAAAATGAAGGCATTTGTTAAAAGTTCAATATCTTAAAAAATTGAAATGGAACACCCTATTTATTGTTTTTGCTTTTAAAAGATTATTAATTTGTCCTTACGTTTAGGAGTTTATAATCAATCATTAAAAAGATATTTAACGTTAAACATTAAAAAAACTACTATTGTTTCAGTAGCCAAAAAGTACACAGTTGCACAAGAGATGGAAGAAATATCACTTAATATCACATTTTTGTTAAACTGAATTCATTATTCATTATAAATTAACGGATAAGTGATCCGTGGTGGAATTACTATGTTTACCATAATATCAACAATGTTCAGATATTGATAGGCATTCTTGCTACAATTAATATCGAATGTTAAATATCTTTTCATTTATTAATTCTAGACATTAAAAGGTGTTTATAATCAATAACTAAAAAGATATTTAACGTTAAACATTACAAAAAAATAGTAACCAAAAAGTGCACAATTGCACAAGAGATAGAATAAATATCACTTAATAATCACATTTGTTTTAGATTCAATCCATTATTCTGTATTTTTACAATAAAATAATTCGAATTTCAGTATTTATAACGACTTTTATAATCTCTGAATAAATCAACGAATAAGTGATTGGAATTACTATGCTTGCCATAATATCAACAATGCTCATATATTGATAGGCATTGTTGCTACAATTAATATTTAATGTTTAATGTCTTTTCATTTATCAATTCTAGACATTAAAAAATGAAATTTTTTAAGTTATTTAACTTTTAACAAACTTCTTAATTTATTAATCTTTACAAATTAATGCACAACACTAAAAAATTGCTACAGCTCCAAATTCTGTACTTTCTTCTTTGGAGGAATAAGAAAAAAAATGTTTTAGCTGTCTTAGTTTTTGTGTAATAAGTTTTTAAAAAGTGCATGTTTTCGTCAAAAAAAAATCGACTTATTTCTAAAACTAAACGAAATCAACTAATAAAAGTTTAGCGTAAAAATATTGTTTTAAAAGGCTACATCCAAAAATGCACAGAAACATACGGTGTTTTATTTGAAAAAACACAAGTTAGTATCGTAACTTATGCTGTATGTTTAAAAATAATTTTAAGTGATGCACTAGATTAGTATCTATCAATGTCTTATACTTTTTTTTTAATTTAACCATTTAAAGATCACTAATAGCCTTTATCAACTCGTTGGGAGACCCTGTATTTTTATAAAACTTTGTAAAATGCGTTTAAAAATTCTTGTTTTCTTAGTATAATTGAGTGTCAGAGACGACGAAGAAACTTCTTATAGATTCCTTGTAGCTCTATTTCAACAAATAACGAGGGCACCTGAAAATGTTTGTCTTCGTATTTTCATATTTGTGATATTTGCAATATTGTACATGAATCACAAATTCACAGTTTGTTCCACAATGTGTTCTATTTTAACATTTTATAAGGCTTTTAGTTTTCCATTTTAACTAATATGTGTTTAACACAATGCATGTTTTCTTTGCATGCTTTTTTACTGTTGGAACAGGACCTGTCATGAATGGGACTGTTAATTTTTTGTTTAACATTTTTACTTGAATTGCTTGTAAGAAATGTGAGCAATAAAAAAGAATTGTGCTACAGGTGATGGAACTTCAAGAAGGTATGGGGTCCAGAAGACAATCTTGTGATAGTGTAGGTGATCAACATTTACGTCCGTTAGGATTTGATAATATTCATCGGAGGTCACCTAGTCTTCGGTATTGATTGATTTTTATCGCATTCTCTATTTTTGAGCATTTTCTTGTTCTTAGACGTGGTAATTCGCCTTCATTACAAAGAAGTCCATCACCTCGAAGCAAAAGATATCCTCCCCATCTTCACCATGATATTGGGTTTTCCGATACGGTGTCCAATGTCGTAGAAATTGTTAAGCATGAACATCAGAGGTCGCATTCAAACAGGAGATTTGTGAGAGGTGAGCAGGTTGACTTATTATTTGAAGAAAGATAAAAAAACAATAATTGGAATGGAAAAAAGAAAAAAATGGTTATAGTGAAGCAATTGTCTCCTTCGTAGAGTACATTTTATAACACATGACCATTTTCAATCTTTGTTGAATTTTTTAAAGGTACGTACCTTATTAAAAAAAACAAAAACATTTTCAAAACTATTTAATGTATTATTAGAGAAATGATCAATTTTGTATGATTGTAGAACTTTTTATTTATGTAATGTTTATAACGTATTGTCATAACTCATAACAATGTGTTTCTATCAAAAATATTTGTTCTATTAGAAGGCTGTTACGTTGATTAGGGAACTCGTTAAATAATTTATATTATATCACAAGGTAAAAAAGAAATTTTTATAGATATAATTTTTTAAATATTTTGTTCATGTTCTTGGTAAAGATACCAGGTATAACATGGCATTTTTCTCTGGGACGCGAGTTCTGGCGAAGCCTGTATAATATTTTTTCAATATTAGCACATTTATTATCCAGAAATACAACGGTGAAGGATATAACCTTACTTAATGGGCATGTTGCCTGAGACGTAACATTTTGTAATTCACAACTATTTTGTTAATTTATTATTTCCTACAACAAGTAATTACTTACCCGAGTTATTATTGTGGTTCGGATTATATGCAAAATGCATATTTGTTATTTAGAGGTATATCAACAAAATTGTAAGTTTTCTATACATATCTAATGTTTTTTGATTAAAATAAGCCAAATAAAAAATGCATATTTTGCACATTTTGGTAACTTCATGCATATTTTAGGAAATATTGCATATTTTCTTCAAATTAAAAATTCCCGATTAGAAATTTCAATTCAAGATAAAAATTGGACAGTTTAAGAAAAATGATTCGATTACAAAATATGTTAAAGGAAAAAAAAAATAGGTAATTAGGAAGCCGGACTCAAACAATTAGTATCCTACTGAGTGCTTCCTTTTTAAGTTCCTTATTGATGCATATTTGGCATATAGGAGCATATTTCTTGATATTTTGTGCATATTTTAGTGAAAATACGTGCATATACAGAGTGCGTCAGAACTCGCGCCCCAGAGAAAAATGCCATATAAGGTAAGATTCCAGGAACATGGAAAAAATGTTAAAAAAAATTTATCTATAAAAATTTCGAAGTTATGAAGGTTTAAAGTTTGCACTTTGTCTCAATTTATTTCTGTTGGAAAAATAATTTTCCAAGTTTTTTTGCTATAGGCTATTAAAAGAGGAAACAAGGAAATTGTATCCTAAATTGTAACTCTGTTCAATGTTATTTGTGGCTTTTATTGGCAAAAGTTTTGTCCCTTTAGTAAATAATTGTAAAAAAACATATACAAGGTGGGGTTATTGTGATGTTTTTTAATGAGGAAGTTTAAGTCTTTTTCATTTGAATTAGCATTATTTTCGTTAGTACTTGTGCTGATAATAATAATTGTTTTAAATAATAATATTTAAGATATACACACTAACCCAAAATATTCCAAATTTATTATACAAACCCCAAATCGTTAAAAAGCTTGCCAAATATGCAATCAATCTGTAAAAACAAATACAGGATGTTTCATTAAAAAAAAATTGTTATTCAACTTTTTGCGTGTTGGTACACCCTGCAAATTGCCTGTGTCCCTGTCTAAAATTGACTATTTGCTAAAACTACAACTACTACTACTTTTGCAATTTTTTCGGAAAATATTCATAGCCAACTACGCACTGATTTTTCAAATGTTGGTCTTTTTATAACAAAAAGTTGAATAATTTCAAAATGAAACAAGATATATCTACGAGTATAATAATTTACACAAAGTACCTACCATTATTTTTTACGTAGAAACTAATAATATAAAAATATATGTATAGGGTGTTCTATTTAAAAAATATAACTTTGGTTTATTACTCTGTTTACAACAGCTTGTATGTAATAAAATAATAGTGGATGTTAAAAACGGCATGTAAATACATTAAATAGTAAAAAAGTTATAGACCGATTACACACCCAATAAATTATTGCCCTTGGTCAATAATGAAAATGATTACTGATCACGAGGAGAGGAAAGTAATTTCAAAATCTCTCAACAAACTAAATAATGGTCTTTTAAACAACTAGTAGTGGTAAATAAGTAGTCTCTAGATCCAGACGAAAACCAAACCTTCTTACACCTTTTCTTCTCAACTAAAAGAATTCTCTGCAGGCTCTTGGTCAGCTTCCACAAGTCCCGCTCGTTCTCCATCCCCCAGCGACGTCCGCCACAACTGTGGATACGGCCCCCTGCGTTCATCACGTCGCGGTGGCTACGGCACGACGAGTCTCTGTCAACGATCCCGTTCGCCCAGTCCCACACACCCCATTCCACACCAGCAAGGTCCACCCATAATCGGTAAGTTTAGATGTTGCCAAACGTAGCAACTAAAGTAGTTAGACAATTTCACAGCCGGTGCTGTGGTAGGTATTCCGATGCAACAGCAACCATCATCAGCCCATGAAAGCAGCAACGTACAGCACAGCCATCCGGTGTTGGGCGGGCGGCGGGGACAAGGCAGGAGACTACCACCGACACCATCCAAACCTTCCACACTGCAGCTGCGGCCGGGACCCATTAACTTTCCGAAACTGAATGCTTCGCCGACGCATGTGAGTCTCTCTGAAAATTTATTTTTCATCATTGAGAATTTATAATTTTTTTTAACATTGATAGTTATTTTTGAAAAATCCCAAATTTTTGCAAAAATCATGGTTTTAAATCAGAATAATACTATTTCAGGCATTTTAGAGCGATTTAGATTGTCTTTATGCGAGAAACTCACTAAATTCTTCAGACGCCAGAAAACCATAGTTTTTGGTCAGAATAACAATGATTCAACAATTTCAGAGCAATTTAACTCGTTTTTGAGCGAGAAACTAACTTAATTTAATCGATTTTGCCACAACGAAGTAAAAAAAATTGTCCTTTTAGATTAGAATAACGCAATTTTAGTTAATGTCGGGCTATTTACCTAATCGATAATTTTTGAGAAAGAAACTAACTAAATTTAACAGATTTGATTAAAACAAGCTAAAAAATCGTGATTTTAAAACAAAATAAATCTATTTTAGGTATTTCCCAGCAAGTTAGTATATTTTTGAGAGACAACGCACTAAAGTTTGAGTTATTCTTGAAGAATCTAACATTTATGAGGGGGGAAATTTCTAGATTTCACAAATATTGCCGAAACAAGTAAAAATTATCATTTCAAAAAGAAAAGAATTTTGCCGGAACCAGCCAGAAAATTATTGTTTTATGGCAAAATGGCGTTATTTTAGCTATTTACGTGCAACTTGGATCGTTTTTGAGAAAAAAATTAATTAATTTCAACATATTTTGCCAAAATAATCCCAAAAATTATTGTTTTAAGTCACACTACTTTAAATTTACCAATTTCCAAGAAATTTGTTTGTTTTTGAACTCTTTCTAAACTCAAAGTCCATGTCAAAAATTTTTGAGTGTTTTAATTCGTCAGAAAGTCAGAAAATTATGAGAGACTTATTAGCTTGATTTTTGACAAGAAGTTAATTTAAATTGAAAGTTTTTGTTTAAACATACTTAAAATGTGTCGTTTGGGATCAAAATAATGCTGTTTCAACCATTTTTTAGCAAGTTAGTTTATTATTAAGCTGGAATGTTTTAAAATTCAGCCAGAACAACAATCGTCGCATTAAGTTAATATGACTTAATTTTGAGAGTTTTTTCTCATTTTTAAGCACAAAATTAGTAGTTTAAGAAATTTGGTTAAAACAAGCCACATAATTATCCTCTTAAGTTAAAATAAAGCTATTTATTTTACTTATTTCTTCATGAGTAGCACGTTTTTTGAGCAAGAAACTCACAAATTTAATAGATTTTGCAGAAACAATAATCCAAAAAATTGTTATTTTAATTTTTAAAACGCTATTTGCAAACGATTTCTGTACTGATAGCATTATTAGTGACTCGAAATAATTGCAAAATGTTATTTCTTCTATTGTTTTACTGCGTTGTTTATTACAAGCGTTTTATGATTTCATTAGTTGCAAAGCGTTCTGATTACTTTGTTCATTTACTTTCAAATTATAGTTTTGCTCCTTACTCTCAGTCTGAATATGTTTGGGGATAAAGTGGTATATTCGGAGTAAAAGTGAGTTTATTTGACTCAGCTGAATTATTAAACACTTTTAGTTCTAATAACATAATGTACTATCTTCAGTTTGTTTTATTTATAAAAGACATCATCTTTGCATCCACTGTGATTTTTGTAAATTTCGAAAATAAAATTAATAATAAACACAATACACAAAAATTTGTTGACCAGAATTGCAAATAAATATTTAGGTATTTAAAAAAAGGCGTAGTAATAAAGCGATCAGTAAATAATTCAATTTTGATCAGTATAAAATGTTTATCATTATGATCACTATTTAATTAATTTTTGCACAGTAAAAATAATAAATGGTAAGTAAAGCACGCACAGTATTTTATTGTAATTTGTTCAGTAAAAAAATCCAATTTACACAGTAAAAATAATAAAAGCTCAGTAACTTTAATCAAAATTACTAAACCAACATAAAATTTAAAGAATTTCAGTCTTGGTTACATAACAATGTATGGAACCTGCACAAGAATGTTATTTATTATTGGTACTTATTTTTATATTACTGAATATTTATTATTCTTGGTGGGTGGTATATGTATTAGCAAGGGCCCCTGCGCAAGAATGATTTTAGGAACGGCTGGAAACCGTGCACAAATGGTAATCAGCCTAATCAGCGTATTTTAAACTGCTGTGCTTCTGATACCACAACTTAATTTGTTTTTGAACCCTTTGCATTATTTCGATTTTGCTCGTTTGTAAATGTGAATATTAAGTTAATTAGTTTTGCTAGACATTCGTTCTTGTCTTTACTGTGCATTTATTATTTTTACTGATGAAAAATACTTGTCGTTTAAATAATATAGGGTGTTTGAGGACTGCGAGCAAATATTTTAACCACTAATAAGGCTCGTCAAAAGTAACAACTTTCGTTATTTCAACTTTTGTCGAAAGCACGTCATTTCTGAGTTAAAATTAAAAATAAATTGAGGCCTAAAACCCGTCCCCGCCTATGTCATAATACGATGTTTACAATCATTCATAAGAAAAAACTTTGGAACGTAAATAGTATAAAGACAAAGAAATTATCACTACATTAGGATAGATCGGTGTCAATGTTAGTGGGTCAATACTTGCTATTATAAAAAATGGCTCGAAATGTGGTCATTCGTTGGCAATGCACACTTCTTGTACTCTTCGGGCTAGGGAAGCTTGCGTTTGCATAAGCTGCGTACACTAATTCACTAATTGTTTCAAGTGAACCCCCAAAAAACACACGTATTTAAATCTGGTGACCGCGGTGGTCATTGGCGACCAATCCATCTCTAGGGAAAATGATTGTTCAATCCATTGGTGACGACTTTGGCATAATCTGATGGAGCTCCACTTGTAAATACCGCATGTTTCGCCAAGGGCATGTCCTCCACCAGATCGGACAACACATTTTATAAAAAATCCAGATAAACGGCACTAGTTAAACGTTGAGGTAATATGTGAGATCCAATTTGGTGATCTTCAATGATCGCTGCCCAAACATTTAGTGAAAATCGGTCTTTCAAATCGATGTGCACAATTCACCCGAAACGACTAACTAAACTGACACGTGTAAACAAGTGATAATTTTTTTGGATAAAAAGTTTCCTTTTTTCTGTATAAAAACTTTCACGGTTAACATTCAATGCAATTTTTCATTACACACTGAACGGCTCGTGAAAATCATAGGGGGGAAATTGCAAAAGTAAAATTTGAATACGGAATTTGTTTGGTCTTCAATTCGACTTTTCATAACAAATTCTCTTAGTGGTTAAAATATTTGCTCGCAATCCACAAACACCCTGTATACTGTGCATTTAATTTGTTCCCAAAAGAATTGTTTTATTTTTAAAAACGTTAAACAACATATTCCGTGGTCAGCTATTGCTATTTAGGGTTTTAACAGTGTTTTGTGAAAATATCGTTTTGTTATTTAAATATCGATGAAATGAGTTTGTTTTGTGCTTTTTCAGATCCAGTCCCACTCGGCTCATGCCACTCCACACGCCATGCCCCACAACTACCACCGTGAGCCGATGCGCGAGGTCGTCCCGACGGCCAACGTCCCGGCGCTCCGCGACGGCAACCAAGCGCCTCTCAGCTTCGAACAGGCGGTCGCCTTGGGCCGAGGCGGCCGAATGCTACCAAGTCCGGTGCCTAATGGTTACAAACCAAAACCAACTCGGTCACGTCATTCGGACTCTGACGACGACGACTGGTGCTAACACACGGAGAACACTCAGTAAATGAGTTATAAAATACAATATATTACAACATATTTAGAACTAGTGCAACATAATATGAACGGACGATCATTTAAAAACATGTTAACTGTTATTCACAATAAATCTCTGGCCTTTCAGGAATTGAATAACATGTTGATGTTGTGTTGGTGTCATTCCACAGTGGTGAAAATCCTCATCACGGAACTCTTTATTGAATTTTGTAACTACTGCCAATAACGATTTAAACTTATCGCCCTTTGTATTTGTTAGGAATTCGCCCAAAAGGCCAGTTATATGACCACAACTTTCAGCTAATAATTTGGATTAAAGATATTTTTGCAAAACAATTTCACACTTGCATATCCAACAAGATATCAATAAGCAATATATCATATTAAATTTAATTACTTGTGAAAAGAACAAAAAACTATACCTAGGTATGGCTTATTAATATTGCTATTTTGTAATCTTAAGTGATTTTAAAATTAAAAAAAATCAAATCGATTGTTGAAAAAAATTAAGAATTCGAAATCGACGCTTCCTTAAATGACTTTATTCTTATTTTTTATTTAATTTCTTTATTCAAAATCACACGTACATTGTTTTTTTTTCTTTTATAAAAAGGACTAAAAAAATTAAAATATAAAAATACTCATTCTAAAAGAACTGTAAAAATTAAATTGCGAAATGTTCACTTAATGAATGTTGCCACGAAGAAGAACAATATGTTCTCCTATAGTCCTGCTTGAATTTGTTATTGATGGAGTCACTGCTTAAACTTTCTGTGAACGTAGAACTCACTTTTTTAAGAACATTGAAGCTTTTTTACTGTTTTTTTGGGAGTCTTATTTATTTAGTGCTTTTATTTTGCATTTTTTTTGTGTTTTGACATATGTTTGGTTTCTGTCTTCTTTTCAACTTGAAACAATTGATGGCGTTTAATTAAAGACATTTTATAAAGCCAAAAACTGAAAAGAAAATATTGGGAATTAGTAGGAAAAAGTCAAAACATCAAAATTTTTAAACAATAAAAACGCCTTAAACTTTAACACTGAAAAAGCATAAATATGAAGTGTAGAGAGTGGCACTAATCATCTTATGCTGTGTTCCAAAAATCGCAAAATCCAGGTCTGAACTTGGTCATTTTTTTAACAGTTTTTTGGGAGTTTCATTTATGTTATCTTCTACTTTAAATGCTTTTATTTTGCATTTTTTCTTTTTTTGTGTTTTGATTATGAATTTTGTTTTTTTTCTTCTTTTCGAGTTCAAACAATTGATGGCGTTTAATTAAAGCCATTTTATAAAGCCAAAACTGAAAAGAAAATATTGGAAATAAGTAAGAAATAGTCATTAGCGCCAAATTATTATAATCTTTATTTATATCTTACATTTTAACACTGAAAAAGCATAATTATGAAGTGCAGAGAGTGGCAATAATCATCTTATGTTGTGTTGCAAAAATTGAGGTCAGAGCTTGGTCGTTTGGGGCGATTTCCGTAAAAGTCGCTGAAGATCTCGCAAAATTTTCAAATGTAGCGCTATATTTATATCAAATTTTTTCATTTGCCCGCGTCATTGTTTTGGATCACTCTGTATGATTTGTGTTCATCACGTGCTTTTTACGAAAATATCAGCTGTAAAATTTGTCGGGATGTTCAGCGAGTGTGATGTACGAGTTAGAGTTTCGTATACATGTACATATTAAAAGTAATAATGATTGGTAGTTCTGAAATTTACATTAACGTAATTTATACCAACCATTTTATTCTGATAAATAATTATAATTCTTCCCTAAAGTGCTTTAAACACTAAATTTACGAAACATACTTGTTACATCAGTAAGAAGTAATTTGAGCGTTTTGATTCGTTTCTCTCATGTAATTAGTTGAGACATTATTTCTGTGATATGAGCACATGAAAGTGTGTGTTAAGTGTAATGGTTTAGTGCTCTGAACTATTATTTTTTTTTGAGTTGTACAAACCTAACCACATATAATTGTAGACTCTACTAGCGTAACCATAGGGCATTCGCCCACTTGTGACCGTTTGCAGCGATGCAAGTGGCTCTTAGTTTATTAAAAATGATGCCTTATAAACTATTAACCAAAGTCTATGCGGAGAAAAACAGTAATCTCTATTTTAAAGTATTTTTCGTTGTTCACATGGCCAAAAAAGCGTTTTATGCGAACCAAAAGTGCAGGTCCACTACTGAATTTCGTTGACAAAAAGCAAAAGTCCACTTCTTCGTCATGGGAGTTTGAGTTTTGTTGTGGTTATCACAAACATCAAGTATTGTCATTGAAGACAAAAAATATCTAAGGTGGAACCATGTTTTTTTCGAAATCCGCGTCCGGTTCCATCCTGCCTGTTTTTATCATTACGATTAATTGTAATATCTCTGCCAATTGAACAAAATGCGGGTCTCGTAATTCATTTAAACTCTGTAGAATATAAGTAGTTTAGTAATTGAGGGGCGAATCGTTAATCGCGCCGCCGATCAGTGCGAATGTGCGTGTGTCTTTATGTCTGTTTGTGTGGCTTTGCAGGCATGAAGCCATTTGTATTCACAGACATTTCCGAGATGCTGTTCTTCGTCTGTTTTATTACATTCAATTGAAAAAAGTCCAAGTTTTATATCCAGCATCTGTACATAAATATACGTATATTATTAAAAAACAAAATCTATAATTCTAGAAATATCTGTTAATACATGCTAATCTGTTAAACATTTCAAAAATGATGCTGCACAATCTGTTATTATATTATGAAATGAAGTATTATCTTGTTATACACATACTTAGGTAAATAATTATTTATCGTTAGATTAAGACAATTCAGCAGCAGCATTTTTGAAATCCGTTCGAGTATATATAAATAAATTTATCTTTTTCGTAATTATGTTATTGAATATTTATGTATTTATCCATCAGTGAAAATTTGCATTAGTGTTAATTATACATATTAACATCGCTTACAGCCCATTTTTTAATGAAAATTGTGAATAAATAATAATATACTTTGTCTTGTTTATATTTCATTCCCCAAATACCACTAATTAATTTCAGGAATTTACACCTTGCCTTTTTTCAGTTAATTGAAATTTTGTTTAGCACATTTTTTATACATTTTGCTTCTAGTCGAATATCCTTTTGTAAAAAAAATATAAAAAACATAACTTTTTCTATTGACGATTTGCTTGCGTTTTCAAAGTTGAATATTTAACAGATAAATCATTCTTACGATTGGTTTTTCGCTACTTTATTTTTTTTTAAACACATCAAATTTTTAGAATGAAAGAAAAACATACCTATAGAACGTCATTTCTTAACCTATTTAAAAAAAAATTTTGGAGTAGCAAGCAAATAAGAAGTAGCAGTAATCATCTCAAATACGCTGTTTTGTCACCACATAATCACATAATCGAGATTTGAATTTCTCGTAAAAAAACGCTGCAGAATTTTCCCTATTGTTGACGAGCTGGAGTTTTTAAAGTTGCAAATTAAACGTTAAAACTAATTTTGAAGAGAAATTAAAGTTAAAAACAAGACTTGGTTTTTATAAAAAAAATGTATTGCAAAGGCAATACGCCCAAATAAATTTAGAAATTTTCTAAAACCGAAAGATTAAGAAAAATTCATTTTGTAGCTTACTTTTCAAATGAATAATTTTAACCAAAATAGTATTTGGTTAACAGTTTTGCGAAAATGTCAACAAAAAACAATGCATGTGATACGGTTTTGAGCAAAATGTTTTTTTTTAAATAAGCTTGAAAATGTGTTACTCGTTTTTTCTCTAAACTTTTAGTTTCCAAAATTCTTGCACCACCTGTACCTTAAAAAGGTAAGTTATAAATCAACCTTAACTATGTATGTATGTAACTTTCCAAAATTGCTGAAGCAGCAATAGTAAAAATGTCAATAATATCAAAATTTTAACTCCATGGCTGAAAGGTAAATGTTTTACTTGTGATATTTGTGACTGGGGAAAGTTAATTCACTTTTTATTTTTCCACTCTTATTCAAACAGCAGAAAGTAAAAATGAATAAAAAAATATAATCAAGTTGGTATTTATTTGAAATATTTTAGTGTTTTTAAAAGGACCGTGATAACTGAAGTCTAGTGAAAAACAAAAGAGTACAGTAAGAAACAAAGTCGTTTATAACACCCGGGATAAATATGTTTTCGTATTTTTATTTCCTCTAACTTTTAATTCTAATTTTACTACTCTATAAATACAAGTTTACCAGACTAAAAAGTTGAGTAATAGATAATTTTTCTAACAGTCATCATCTACTATATTTTAAGGTCAAGGTAAAACTAATTCAAATAAGTACCATGTCTCAACAAGTTAGTGTAATCGTTATCAAGCACAACACAGTGTATTTTTATTTAATTCCAAGTATTTTAGTAATTATTATTAACATCTAAAAATTAATGAAAATTGTTTCAAAACAACTTTTTTTTCATGATTTTTTTAATTTATAAAAACATTTTGAGTCTAGTAAATAGTTGTTCAAAAATATTCAAAGAGCAAATTAATTTGTAATTAATATTAACCTATTTAGATACTCGTACATGTGGTTAATGAGATATCAAGCTTTTTATCACCCATGGTGGGCTTTTAAGTACCACTGAGACTGTCTATCATAGTGTTCCAATTTTGGCTATTCCTGTTGCTGCTGATCAAAAATTGAACGCACTTAGAACAGTAAATCAAGGTTATGGGCTATCTTTAGGATACCGAGACGTTACGGAGGAAACTTTAACTGAAAAAATTAATGAACTTTTAACAAACCCAAAGTAATTATAATTTTTTGAAAAACTTTTAAGTTTTGATTATTTTCAGATATGGTAAAATGGCCAAAAGTAGATCAAAATCGTTCCACGATCGTCTAGTAACACCCATGGATATGGCAATTTATTGGGTTGAATATGTGGTTCGCCATGGAGGAGCCCAGCATTTGAGAGTGGCCAGTTTAGATTTGCCTTTGTATAAATATTTTCTTTTAGATGTAATTGTGTCTCTTTTAATAATTATTTTAGTAGTATTAGTGGTTGTTTATAAAATAATCAAAAAATTATTGTGCCTTATTAGTAAGAAAAAAAATACAAAAAGAAAAAATAAATTTGTAGGGCCATTTTTGAGACACAAAGTTAAAGCCGATTTGAACACGTGCACACTTCATTACAATGGCCATTGGTGAGCTAAATTTGCAAAAGGAACGCAATTAACAATTGTCAGGAAAATTATTTTAGGCCGGCGGCAATTTTAACAACTCACTACTTTCATAATTTTGAAAGTACTCAACCACTTTGAAATAATCCTGTCAGAACAGCTGGTGCCAAGGTGTCGAGGTCAGGTCATCATTTAATGATAAGGCAACGCCTGTAAAAATAAAATGGGGGTGTGAGTAATCCAGTCCATTGGAGTGAGACGTCCACAATCATAATTCGTGAATAATTAAATATAACAGTAATTAACCCAAAATAATTATGCAAATCTATCAACAATAAAATATGTACCGTGCGATCATTTAAATAATAAATTAGAGCAAGCTGTGGATTTTGAATCAGGTTGGCACTACTAATGTTGACACTTTGATTTGAAATTTGAATTGTCAAAGTGGCATTTCAAAATGTTTCAATTAGAGCATAAAATTTTTCTTACTGAGAGTTATTTGAAACACGCCGAACGGCAACAGAATGGTGAATGGATGTATTCTGTAGATCATTGCCTTAATGATTTTCAAAATGCTTTCCCCAATTTTCCTATGGATTATCAAAAATTGGTCCATCAAATTTATTTATGTGTCGCAAAATTTCGTTTTGTTGGGACTGTTGGACGAAAAACCGGTAGCGGAGCGCCCAAAAAAAGAACTCCTGAGATTGTGGAAGATGTTGCAGCAAGAATGGAACAGTCTCCTAAAAAATCTCTCCGTAGATTAGCTCAAGAGATGGACCTCTCATATGGAACTTGTCAAAAAATATTGAAAAAAGATTTAAATCTTCATCCCTATAAAATTACTGTCGTCCAAGAGCTGTTGCCCCGAGATTTTCCTGCGAGAATAGGATACTGTCAGTGGTTTTTAAATCATCTAAACAACAATATCTTAGATTTAACCTTCTTTTCCGACGAAGGATGGTTCCACCTGTCTGGATATGTAAATAAACAAAATATGCGAATTTGGTCTACAGTGAATCCTCATGAGTTTGTTCAATCGCCTCTCCATCCACAGAAAATTGGTGTTTGGCTAGCGGTCTCTCGAAGACGCATATTTGGACCTGTCTTTTTTGAAGGAACGGTCAACGCCGAGAGATATCGAAATAATTTACTCGAACCTTTTTTCCAAAATCTTAATGATGACGAAATTCGACATGGGTACTTCCAACAGGACAATGCAACAGCTCACAAGACAAGGGAAACTATGGGTCGAATTCACGAGTTTTATGATGATCGAGTTATTCAATTTCCGGCTCGAAGTCCGGACCTGACAATTCTAGATTATTTCATTTTCCCATATCTCAAAAACACCGTTTTTAAAAATAACCCGCACAACCTTGAAGAACTGCAAGAGGCAATTTCTAATACATGTAACGCTGWAACCCCTGAGATATTGGAAAATGCATTTGAAAATATGAAACGGAGGGTTAACAATTGTATTGCAGCTGGGGGGGAACACTTTGAACATTTTATGTAATTCGCAATAAAAACGCATTCGTTTCAGTGTTTTCATTTCCTTTAAATTAAAACGATTGAATATCAGATCCACAAACGTCACAAAGTTAACCACAACCTCAAATTTATTCAATCAGTCAATTGGCATTCTGGGCAATCGTATAAAAAAAA